GGCCCCGGGGAGCGCGGGGGGCGGCCGGGGCTACCTCCACGTTCTGGAGCATCTGCTTGAGGGAGTAGATGAAGTTCTGGATCTCCTCATTCTTCACGGCGAGCGTGGTGATGATCTTGCGCAGAGACTCCTGCCCGGCGCCCTGCAGCGGCCGTCAGTGCCCGCGGGGCCCGCGCTGCCCCCGGGGCCTGGCCCGCCGTGCCAGGCTGTGCTGTGCCAGGCCGTGCCAGGCCGTGCCGGGCCGTGCCAGACCGTGCCGGGCCGTGCCAGACCGCGCCAGGCGCCGCGGGGACCCGGCCGGGCTGCCCGGCATGGCGGGGCCATGACTTGGCAGTGTGAGTGTGAGTGTGAGTGTGCCAGCCCCGAGCCCCCCGCTCCCCTCTGTGCCCCCCCAGCCCTCCCGCACCCCTCGGGTGCCACCCTGAACCCCTCAGCCCTCCATCCATCCTCCATCCATCCTCCATCCATCCATCCATCCTCCACACCTGCGCTCCTCATCCCTGCTTCTCCATCCCCTCTTCCTCTCTTCCTTCCTTCCTCTTCCTCCCATCCCTCCATCCCCACTTCCTCCATCCCTCCTTCGTCTCTTCCTTCCTCTTCCTCCATCCCTTCCTCCTTCCCACCCCTCCATCCCCACTTCCTCCATCCCTCCGGCCCTTCTTCCTTCATCTCTCCCTCTCCATCCCTCCCTCCTCCCTCCCTCCACCCGTCCATCCCCTCTCCCTCCATCCCTCCCCTCCATCCCTCCCTCACTCCATCCTCCATCCCGCCCGCCCCCCCCCGCTCCATCCCCTCCTCCTGCCGCTCCCGGTTGCTGCTCGGTGCCGCGGTTCCTCCCGCCGGTGCCGGGGGGCGCGGGCCGTACCTGGTCGCCCATTCCGGGCCGGCCCCGCCGCGCTCGGCCCCGCCGACACCAACAAAGGGGGAGCGGCGCCCCCGCCCCGCCCCCCGGGGCCCCGCCCCGCTCCCGGCCCCGCCCCGCGCCCCGGCGCACGATGGGAGTTGTAGTCCGGGAGGGGAGGCTGCGACCCCCGCGGGTGGGGAGCGCTGGGGGCGAGGGGAGGGGTGGGGGACATTGTCACCCTGCGGGGGGGGCGGTGGGGACACTGTCACAGTGCGGGGGGTCCCGGATCAGGAAGCCTGAGCCCCCCCCAGCCCACTCGAGGGGCAGGAGGGGCTCCCCTGCTCTGGGGGGCTCAGAGGAAATCCCCACGGGGCTCCCCCCAGGCTGGAGCGGAGTCGGGATCAAGGTGGAGCCTGAGGAGGTGCTGGCACCTGTCCTCGCTCTGGATGGTGTCCCATATCCCTGTCCCCATCACTGTCCCCATCCCTGTCCCCAATGGCATCATTGTCCCCATTCCTGTCCCCATCCCTGCTCAAATCCCTGTCCCCATTCCTGTCCCCATCACTGTCCCATATCCCTGTCCCCATTCCTGTCCCCATCCCTGTCCCCATCACTGTCCCATATCCCTGTCCCCATCCCTGAACAAATCCCTGTCCCCAATGGCATCGTCTCCATTCCTGTCCCCATCCCTGTCCAAATCCCTGTCCCATATCCCTGTCCTCATACCAGTCCAAATCCTTGTCCCCAATCACATCACTGTCCCCATCCCTGAACAAATCCCTGTCTCCAATCGCATCACTGTCCCCATTTGCGTGCCATCACTGTCCCCCATTCCTGTCCCCATCACTGTCCCTATTCCTGTCCCCATCCTTGTCCAAATCCCTGTCCCCAATCACATCATCATTGTCCCCATCTCTGTCCCCATCCCTGTCCAAATCCCTGTCCCCAACCGCATCCCTGTCCCCATCTCTGTCCCCATCCCAGTCCCTTTCCCCCTCCCTGTCCCCATCTCTGCCCAAATCCCCATCCCCAGCCCCCCCCCATGTACCCATCTCTCCCCCGCTCTGGTGCCACTCTCTGTCCCTGTCACCTCCCCCGTTCACAGGGCCGGAAGCCACAGTGTCACAGCGAGCTGGCCCGGGTGACGCAGGGCCAGGAGGCTTTGGGGACAGGGACAGCGTGGGGCTGGGACCCCTTGGGGACACAGCCCCTCCGAGGGGGTGGCTGGGCTGGCCCCGGAGGGGGATGTGGCAGCTCGGGGTCCTCATCCCCCTCCTTGGAGGTGAGTGGGGGACGAGGCTGGCTGGGGGACAGCGGGGACAGTGGGGACAGTGGGGACAGCGCCTGGGACCCTGTGGTGGTGCTGTGGGGCTGGGGACAGGCCACCCAGGGGACAATGGAGGGGCACAGGGCTCAGGCTGGCCCCTGTGTGACAGCCGGGGTGAGGGGGGACATCTGTCCTGGGGGGTCGACCAGAGAGGGGCTGAGGACACAGAGGGGAGGACAGACATGGGGACAGAGTGGGTGACACGGCTGTGGCAGGGATGGACAGGAGGGTGACAGTGGGGATGGATTGGGGGGGCACAGGGTGGGATCACACAGCACCAGTGGGGACAGGAAGGTGACAGTGGTGGGGGACAGGATGGGGTGTGTCGTCAGAGGTGACAAGGACGCGTGGGAAGCGAGACTGGAGTGTCACCGTCCCCCATCCCCCGGGTGTCCTGGGGAACAGCCGGGTCTGGGGGTGCCATCCATCCCCCTGTGACCCCGGGGTGCCATCCCATCCATCCCCCTGTGACCCCGGGGTGCCATCCCATCCATCCCCCCTGACCCCGGAGTGCCATCCATCCCCCTGTGACGCCGGGGTGCCATCCCATCCATCCCCCCTGACCCCGGAGTGCCATCCCATCCATCCCCCCTGACCCCGGGGTGCCATCCATCCCCCCTGACCCCGGAGTGCCATCCCATCCATCCCCCTGTGACCCCGGGCTGTCCCCACAGCGGGCGCCCTGCGGGTGACCCAGGAGCCGGCCGAGCTGCAGGTGGCCGCGGGTGACACGGTGGCCCTGCAGTGCCAGGTGGAGGTGGCCGAGGGCGAGGTCCTGCTGCGGATGGAGTGGCTGCGGGGCGGGGGGCTCGGGGTGCTCTGTGCCACCCGCCTGCGCCTCGGCACCCCCCTGTCCCCGCTCCTCTGCGCCCCGAGGGGGGCACAGCTGGCCTGGCACTCCCCCCGGGCCACCCTCAGCCTCCCGCAGGTGCAGAGCAGCGACAGCGGGCGCTACCTGTGCCGGGTGACCCTGGAGATCCCGCGGCACGACACGGCCACCGGCAACGGCACCGAGCTCCGCGTCACCCCCGGTACCGCCTGGGACAGCGGGGGGACAGCGGGGGGACAGGGGAGGCGGCACCGCCGAGGGGCTTGGGGGGTCACTGAGGGTCCCCAGCACGGTGGGTGGGGTCCTTTGGGGGAGATTCTGGGGGGGGTTTGGGTGGCCACAGTGAGGAGGGACAGGGACGGGGACAGGGACAGGGATGGGAACAGAGACGGGGACGGGGACTGGGACAGGGATGGAAACAGAGAGAGGGAAGGGGACAGGGATGGGAACAGGGACAGGGATGGGGACGGGGACAGGGACTGGGACAGGGACATCTCTGACTCTTTCCCCTGACCGCAGCAGCTCTCGGAGGACATCAGCCAGGTAACTGTGTCCCCCTGTCCCTGCTGTGCCCTCCACCCTGGCACCCCCGGTGTCCCCGGGCCGGGGTGACCCTGGCTGTGCTTGCAGCGCTGCTCTGGGCGCTCCTGGCTGGCCTGGGGAGCCTGGGGGGCACCGTCCTTCTCCTGGGGCTGGCCCTGCTCGGCCAGCGCTGCTGTCACAGGAGCCCAGGTCAGCCTGTCCCCAAATCCCCTCCCCGACACCCAAACGCCCCTGTGCCCACCTGCCCCACGTCCCCCTGACCCCAAACCCCCCTGTTTGTGCCCCACTCCGGGCACCCCGTGTGTCCCCCGAGGGTGCTGGCTGACAGGCTGACAGCAGTGACCCCCACAGGCGCTGTGCACCCCGACTCGCCCATCTATCTGAACGTGGGGTCCCCCTCGGCGGGGGGCCCCCCAAAGCCGCCGCCCCCCGAGCCGGAGATCAGCCTGTACCAGGTGGAGCCGCAGCGGGCACGGGGCCCCCCCCTGCCCCCCCGGCCCTGAGGGCGCCTCACAGCCTCCCCCGGCTCTGCCTTCCTCAGGAAACCCCCCAAAAAAGGCGTTTGGCAGCATCCTGTCAGCCGGCTCGGCGTGCTCTGTGTCCCCCCGCCCCCGGGCCATCCGCTGCCATTGCTGCCATCGCTGCCATCCGGTGCCATCCGGTGCCCACCGGCCACCGCGCGTGGGCAGCTCGTGGTCACTGTGCCACAGGGGTGACAGGGACCCCTCGTTCAGGGGAAGCCACTCTGCTGTCCCCTGGGCTCCCGCGTGGTGTCACCCAGCACCCGAGGGCTGTGCTGGGGGTGGGAAGCGAGGACACCCCGGGGTGGCAGTGCCACCACCTTGTCCTGCCTTCCCCAGGGACACCACGGAGTTGGGTGCCCAGATGCACCAGAGGGACCCATTCCTGTCCCTGTCCCTGTCCCCATTTCAGTCCCTGTCCCCATCCCATCCCACCCCATTATCCCATCCCATCCCATCCCATCCCATCCCCATCCCCATCCCCATCCCTATTCTTGTCCCCTTCCCTGTCTTAACCTCCACCCTGCTCCTCATCCCTGTCCCCATCCTCATCCCTGTCCAGATCTCCACCTTATCCCAATCCCATCCCCATCCCATCCCATCCCCTACTATGGATCCCATCCCATCCCATCCCATCCCCATCCCCATCCCATTATCCCATCCCATTCCATCCCATTATCCCATCCCATCCCATTATCCCATCCCATTATCCCATCCCTTTCTCATCCCTGTCTCCACTCCTGTCCCTTTTCTCGGTCCCCACCCCTGTCCCTATTCCCCTCCTCCCACGTCCCCATCTCTGCCCCAAATCCCCCTCCCCAAATCCCCATCCCCAAATCCCCGTCCCCAGATCCCGCTCGGAGGCAGCACAGCGTCCCCAGCCCGGTGTCACAGGGCGGTTTAATGGGGCGGGGGGCGCGGGCGGGGGTCCCGGGCTCACAGGGGCTGCACGGCCACGGGGTAGAGCAGGGACAGGTGGCGGGCACCGCGCACGGGCAGCGCCCGCGCCGTGTAGTGCCCCACGGCCGCCGGCACCGACGGGAAGGCGGCCCCGGCCCGGCCCAGCGTGAAGTGCTGCTCCCGGGTCCGCGTCAGCTTCACGTGCACGAAACCCTGGCTGCTCCTGCGGGACAACGGGAATGAGGCGCGGGATAACGGGAGAACGGGAATGAGGCGCGGGATAACGGGAGAACGGGATAATGGGAACAGGAATGGGAACAGGAGCAGGAACGGGATAACGGGATAACGGGAAATGAGGCACGGGAGAACGGGATAATGGGAACAAGAACAAGAACAGGAGCAGGAACGGGATAACGGGATAATGGGAAATGAGGCACGGGAATGGGATAACAGAACGGGAATAGGAATGGGAACGGGATAACGGGAACAGGAACGGGAATGGGATAACAGGAAATTAGGCACGGGAATGGGATAACGGGAGAACAGGAATAAGAATGGGAACAGGAACGGGAACGGGATAACGGGAAATGAGGCACGGGAACAGGATAACGGGATAGCAAGATAATGGGATAATGGGATGGGATTGGGATGGGATAATGAGATGGGGTAAAATGGGGATTGGGATGAAGTGGGGATCTGGACAGGGATGAGGATGGGGACAGGGAGGGGGACAAGGATAGGGATGGGAATGGGGTGGGAATGGGAATGGGAATAGGGGTGAGGACTGGGATGGAGATTGGGGCACAGATGTGGACAGCAGTGGGGATGAGGTCAGGAATGGGGATCCCATCCAGAGCAGGGGCAGGGGGTGGCACTACCCAGCTCACCTCCAGCCTGTGCCATGCATGGGGACACACCAGCACATCCCCAGGGGGCTGGCACAGCCAAACACGGATCCAACCCCCACTCCCAGCCTGGCACGGCCCCTGGCACGGCTGTGCCCAGGTTGTGCCCGTGTCCCTGCTCACCTGAGGGACAGCGAGTAGTCCTCGGGGCTGGTCTCGCAGTCCCGCACCAGGAAGCTGCCCTCGCGGCACAGCGCCAGCAGCGTCTCTGCGCCCGCCCGCCCGATGGCGCCGTGGTACCAGCTGGGCACAGCGGGGTCACACCGGCACCCCCTGGGCCATGGGGCACCCCCTGGGCCATGGGGGACCCAGCCATGCCATGGGGCACCCAACCGCACCATGGGGCACCCAGCCACGCCATGGGGCACCCAAACCATGCCGTGGGGCACCCAAACCATGCCGTGGGGCACCCAGCCATGCCATGGGGCACCCAAGCATCCTATGGGGCACCCAACCATGCTATCGGCCACCCAACATGCCATGGGGCACCCAAGCATCCTATGGGGCACCCAACCATGCTATCGGCCACCCAACATGCCATGGGGCACCCAACCACACTATGGGGCACCTAAACATCCTATGAGGCACCCAACCACACTGTGGGGCAGCCAACCCCATGGGATTCACCCACGCCACTGGCCCCTCCACACCCCCCATGCCAAAGGGCCCAGCCACACCGAGGGACACCCTGGACCCCACAAGGAGCCACCCCTGGGGACCTTCCCCCGCGGGTCTGTCCCCGTGCCACGCCGTGTGACCGGGACGCCCCCAGACTCACGCCTGCTTCTCCAGGGGCAGCGAGGTGTCCACGTGCCTGGGGCTGGGGGGGCAGGCGGGCCGGGGGCCGCGGGGGGAGCGGGGCAGCGGCCGGGACAGGCTGGGGGAGCGCTCGGGGCTCTCAAACTGCACTGCGGGGACAACGGGGCGTCACCGCCTCCTCGCAGGGCCACAAAGGGATATCCCAGAGCGGCTCTGTGCCGCCGTGGTGTCCCATTGCTGGGGACAGGAGTGCTCTGGGGGGTACCCATGGGGGGCACGGGGTGTTGGGGTGGCAGGGGGACATGGGGGGGTACCCCGGGATGCTGGGGGATGCTGAGATCCAGGTCTGATACCCATGGAAGCTGCGGGATGTGGGGTTGGGGGACCCTGGGGGTGTCTCCACAAGGGGGAGGGAGCCAGGAGTGGCACCCATGGGTGCTGTCACCCGAGGTGGCACCCGGGGCCGCTGTCACCTGCGAACGCCCGTGAGATGTGATCCTTCTTCCACTCCCAGGGCTGGTCGTACTCGTCGGCCGGGCGCTCGTCGTCGCGGGGGAGGCGGCTCTGGCGGGCCGGGGGCGCCCCCGGGCTGTCCCCGGCCGTGTCCCACTCCTCGGAGGGGGTGTCGTACAGCTGGGGACCCCGGCGCGGCCGCACCCGCCGGGCCTCGCCCTGCCGCGGGCACCCTGCGCATGGGGAACGGGGAACGGGGCGGTGGGAGCGCCCGGGACCCCCGCGGGGGCTCTGGGGGGGCCCGGGGTGTCACCACCCACCTGTGGCCTCCTCGTCGCAGCCGCCCTCGGGCGCCGGGTCCTGCTCGCCCTCGAAGGGCTCCGAGTACTCGCTCTCACCTGGGCCCTGGTGGGGGGGGTCTGGGTGGGACGGGACCCCCACTGCCCCCCCCGCAGCCCCCCGGTCCCGGGGTGCCCTCACGGGACCCTCGGGGCTCCCACACCCCGGCGCGGGGGTCCCCAGCCCCGTGCCCGCGCCCGCCCACCGGCTCCCTTTGTCCCCCAGCCCCTCTCCCCCTCTCCCCTTCCCCCTCTCCCGGTGCCTCCACCACCCCCAGCCGCCCCCCAGTTCCCCCTCCAGTGACCCCGGCTCCCCCCCGGCTGCCCCCCGACCCCTTGGCTCTGCCCGGTTCCCGGTTCCCGCTCTCCCGGTCCTTAACCCCGGCCGCTTTGGGTCCCCGTCCCCGTTCTCTGTGTCCCCCCATCCCCTCCGCTCTCCAGCCCCCCCGTTCGCCGCTCCCCGCTCACACCTGCCCGACCCCCCCCGCTCCTCCCGGTACCCCCCGTTCCCCTTCCCCAGCCCCCCCGGTTCCTCCGCCGCCCTCCCCGCTCCCGTGGCTTGGCCGCGGCTCCCGCCCGGTGCCCCCCGGTGCCCGCCGGTGCCCCCCGGTGCCGTACCTGCTGCAGGCGGCGGGGGCCGCCCCCCACCCGCACGAGGCGGTGGCGCGGGGAGGCGGCGGCGGCGGCACCGGGGGGGCCCCCGGGGCCGCTGTAGTCGGGCTGGGGCGGGCGCGGCGGGGAGCGCCGGGCCCCCCGGCCCAGGTACTCCCGGAGCCACTTGGCCATGGCGGGGAGCGGCACCGGGACGGCCGGGACCCAGCGGCGGCACCGGGACCCGCCGGGACCCCCCCGCCGCCGCCGCCGCCGCCGCCGGAGCCGCTTTGTGTCGCCGCCGCCGCGCGCGGCGCGGACCGGAGCCCCCGGAACCCCCCCGCGCCCGCCTCGCCGGGGGCACCGGCACGGGGGGGGCGAGACCACCGGGGGGACGGCGGCAGGGACGGCGAGGGCGGCACGGCGGGACCCCGAGCGGCGGGGGGCACCGGGACCGTGACACGGCGGGACCCCCCAGTGACACCGGGCGGGCCCTCCCCGGTCACAGCGGGAGATGCGGGGACCCCCAGACCCCAGCGATGGGATCCACACGGGGCTGGGGGCTGCAGGGCTTTGGGGGAGCAAGGACCCCCCAATCTCCATCAGCCACCCCGGGGAGCTCCTGGGGGGCACGGGGGGCTCGGCTCCCCCCCGGCCGCGGGGTTTGGGGGGGCTCAGGAGGTTGGAACCCCCCTCAGCCCTGCCCCGAATCCCCTCCTGGCATTGTCTGTGCCCAGAACAAAGGTTCCTCTCCCTGGGGTCCCTTTTCGGGTCCCTACTCTTGGGGTTCCTTTTTGGGGTCCCACCTGGTGCTGGGGGTGGTGACAGCTGGGCAGTGGGGGACACATCTGGGAGGACACGGCCTGAGACCCCCCCTCACGCCCCCCCAGCCCCTGCTGGGCCCAGTGGCCAGCATTAATATTTGAAGAGGTTAATTAAGGCATGTGCACAGAATGCTAATTGGGATGGGGGGGGGTTGGGTTTCAGTCCAGCTCTCCCTGACGCCCCAGAGCCCCCCCCGGGCCCCCCAACCCCTCTGTGAGGGTGTTAATTAACCAGAGGCTGCTCAGCAATTAGAGGGGGTGGCTCGATGAGAGGGAAGTTGATGGCCATGGGTGAGGAGAGCCCCACTTGGGGTGGGTGGGCACTGGGGGGTCCCTATCATGGGGGTGGGTGGGGGTCCCACAGTGCCCACGTACAAATCAGTCCCTGATGAAGATGAGGCTCTGGGATGAAGCTCAGATCTGGCTCTGCCTGATCCCATTTATTCCGGAGTGTGGCTGCTGGAATGGTGAGGATGGCTTTGTCCCTGAGCTCCTGGGGACATCTGGGGGGGCTGCTGGTGCCAGGACAGCCCTGTCCCCGCACTGAGGGGCTGCAGGAGCCCCCGAGGGGGTGCAAAGGTGGCACCTGACACACCCTGGGAAGGGAAGGAGGGGGGCTGAGCACCCACCTTCCCCTGCACCCCTGTGGAAGGGCAGCCCCAAGGTCCCCTTCCTGCTGGAGGGGGGTCAGGACACCCCAAACCCAACCTGGGCACGGCCATTGGGAGGGGGTGAGGGCAGTGGCACCCCCAGAATGGACACAGCAGAGTCCTGTGCAGCCCTGGCCTTGCAAACACATCCTGGCAGCAGGTGCTGCTGCAGGGGAACACCTTTCCTGCACTGCTGCTGCTGCTGCTGCATGGCCGGAGGTGACAACAGCGGTGGCCGGGACCCCCCGGGCCCCTGGGGGCGCTTCCAGAGCAGCAGGAGCGGGGACAGCCCCGTCCCTGCCCCGTCCCTGCCCCGTCCCCGCTGTCCCCTCAGTCGCTGGCGCTGTCCTCGCTGTCCGAGTAGGCTCCCAACAAACCCAGCGAGGACGTGGCTGCTGCTGCTGCTGCTGCTGCTGCTGCTGGAAGGGAGCCTGGAAGGGGAGGGAGGGAGAGGATCCGGTCAGGTTCAGCCTCCCCGGTGAGGGAACAGCAGCCCGGGGAGATCCCGGGTGGAGCCGCAGCCCTGGATGGACGCCGAGCTCAGGGAGGATCAATCAGGGGGATAAACGGCTCCTGCAGCCCTCGGCTGAGCCTCCCTCCTCTACTCTGAGGGAAGCACCGAGGTCTGGGACCCCCTCCTCCCTCCACAGCCCCCGGGGAGGCTCCAGACCCTGGGAAGGGAGAGAGGAGCCAGCTCTGGGCTCCCACCACCCCAACCCTGGGACAGCAGCCAGGAGCAGGAGGCTGGGGAGCACAGGGACAAGGGGACACTCCAAGGGCTGTCCCTTCTCTGAACAGGAGGCTGGGGAGCACAGGGACAAGGGGACACTCCAAGGGCTGTCCCTCCCCAGGAGCAGGAGGCTGGGGAGCACAGGGACATGGGGACAATTCCAAGAGCTGTCTCTCCCCAAGGGCAGAGGAACTCACTAAGCCAAAGGCTCAGGGTCAACCAGCCCAGAACAAATCCACCCCCCATGTCCTTCCCCAAACCCATGGCTCCCCTGGCTTGCTGAGAAGCCTTCCAGCTTGTTTTGTGGTCCTTAAAGCTTCCCAGCTCCAGCAGTGAGGCTGGATTTATCACCAGGCCCCAAACCAAAGCAGTTCTCCTGCTGTTCCACCCCTATCTCGCTGTTGTGACGTCCCCAGGGCTGTATCTGCTGTTTTGGAGCTCCTGGCCTTGCCAATCTGTCCCCAAGGCCGTGGCTGAGAGCCAAGAGCCAGGAGGGAGAATCAGCTTCACCAGGAAGCTCCTGGAAACGGGGACAACCCCCTGTTCTCACAGGAAACCCCTGGAAATGGGGACAACCCCCTGTTCTCACAGGAAACCCCTGGAAATGGGGACAACCCCCTGTTCTCACACCAGCCCACCAGAGAGCCCAGCACAGGCTCTGAGCACGGTGCCAACCCCACCCAGGAGGTGCCAGAGCCCCCCAGGGCCCAGCCAGGGCAGGTACCAGTGCTGGCCGTGGTGCCTCTGGTTTCCATCCTGTTCTCCAGGGCAGGATCTGCCTTCTCCTTCTCCTTCTCCTTCTCCTTCTCCTTCTCCTTCTCCTTCCTGCGGGCCACCAGCCCTGCCAGCTGGGCCTTGGTGCTGAGCTTGCCCACGCTGCGCTCCCAGCTCTCCATCCTGGGCTTCTTGCTCTGGGGCTGGGGGTCCTGTGGGCACAGCCAGGGTCAGGGGGCTCCAGCTTGGAGGGGATTTTGGGGATAAAAGCAGCAGAGACACGAGGAGAGGGGGCTGAGGGGGGATTCTGCCTGGCAGGGATGGCACAGGTCAGACAAATGGGGATGTGGATCTGCAAAGCTGCCCCTGGAGATGCATGTCCCACTGGCACAGAGCTAAAGCCAGCCTTGCGATGGCCCTGGGATGCTGAGGAGGCAGACAAAAGAATCTTAAAGGACCTTAAAGCCCATCCAATCCCACCTTTCACTATCTTAGGTGGCTCTGAGCCCTGTCCAACCTGACCTTGGACACTTCCAGCCACAGCTTCTCTGGCAATCTGCTCCAAAGTCTCCCTAAACCCAATCCAACCCTCCCCTGCCTCAGTTCCAGACCATTCCCCCGTGTCCCATCCCTCCCTGCAGGGTAAAAGTTGTTTTCTCTGTGCTTTATCAGCTCCTTTCAAGGCCACTGAGCAGCCCTGGGTGCCTGCAGGTGCCCAGCCATGGCCCCAGCGAGTCTGGGTGCCCTGGGCACAGGGATTAGTGCCAGGCCAGGGAGCACGGCTGGGATTAACCCCAGGCACGGCAGCTTTGATCCAGCCCAGCAGCCCTGGGGCAGGGAGGACAGCAGGGGGAGGGCAGGGCTGTTTGCTGGGATAATCCCTCCCTCCGGCTCTTTTGTTCTGCCTGAATCCAAAGCCCAGCCTGGAGCAGCAGCAGGGCCCAGCAGAGCTGCTCTTCCCGAGGAAGGGAGGGTGGGCACAGCGTGGGGACAGTTCCATGCCTGCCTTTGTCACCAGCCCAGCCTGGAATCCCCGAAGATCCCCGGCTCCTCTCAGCCCAGTGCACAGGGACAGCTTTTGGGAGCTGCCCAGGCGTGACACCAGCCCGGTGTCACCCGCACAGGGACACAATGGGCACACACGGAGCCCCAGGACAGAGCAGAGGGGCTGGGGAAGGGCAGGGCAGGCTGTGCCCCCCTCACCTCCTGCAGGATGTCCGTGGGTTTGCTCTGGGCCGTGGGGTTGGGGCGGGGTTTGGTCGGTTCCTCGTCAGAGTCGGAATCCTCCAGGAGCCGCCGGTTCTGGGCCTGCTCCAGCATGGCCCTGCTGGGACACAGGAGGGCTGGGCTGCATCCATCCCTCTGCCAGGCCCTGCTGGCTCCAGGGGAGCTGGGGACAGCACAGGAGCCTCGGGATCCCCCTTTCCAGGGGGTTCTGTGCCAGCCTGAGGGGTGGCAGCGCTGGGATCTGCAGCCCAGAGCAGGGACTGTGCCCTTCCCAGAGGACTGGAACCCCCCAGCAGCCCAAATCCCACAGGATCCCAGCCTGGCTGGCCTGGAAGGACCCCCCGCTCCTTCCCCCTGACCACTCTGCCAGGACAGGCTGGCATCTCCTCCCACCCCCAAACCCTGGTCACTCATTCCCCCTCTCCCAGCCCTCCCAGCCCTCTCACTTCATCTCCTGCTCGTCCTCCTCCTGCTCCCTGCGCCTCTGCTCCTCCTCCAGCTCCTTGTACTGCTTCAGCATGGCCTCAAAGTCCACGTTGGCCTGCCGCTGGTTGAGCTCCTTCAGCTCCTGCAGGTTCTCCAGGACCTCCATCTCCAGCTTGGAGTCCTTGGTCCGGTTCTCCAGGACCTGGGTGGGAGGAGTTGGGATATTTGAGGCAGCAGAGCCTGACAGGAGCCTCCAACACCTCCCCACAAGAGGATCCTCCTCATCCTCATTTGTGGGTAGGACAGGAAAGCCTGAATGGCTGCAAAGTCACTGCTGGGGCTGGGGAGGTCAGGCAGAGTGGCAGAGGTTTCCTGCACTCCTTGTACCTTCATGGGATTGTTGAGCTCCTCCTCCTCCCTCTCCTTCTGCATCCTCTTCTCCTCCTCCTCCAGGAGCTTCTCTGCCTGGAAGTTCCTGGTGGCTCCGTGCTCCATGGTGTAATCTGTGTTCTCAGGGTCTGTCTGGGGGGGAACAGCAGCAGCACAAGCACTGAGGGTGGGGATCCTGCTCCAGACACCCCAGAGCCACACATCCCCAGCCCCATGAACTGGGCAAGGGCTGATCCAGCCCAAACCCCACCCTGAGACTCAGCTGTGGTGGTTTTGTGGTTCTCCAAACCCACCACACTCTTTAATACATTCACCAGAAATTCTCAAATCAGTGAACCAAAAAAACCCATCAGCTTTTGCTGGGCAGGAGAGTCAGGGAATCAGGGAACAGCCTGAGCTGGAAGGGACAGCAGCTCCTGCCTCTGAGTGGGACAACCCCACCAACCCCACTGTCCAAGGGCTCCTGGCAGCCCCCATTCCCTGGGGGAATTCAGCACCCCACACCCTTGGGGGGAAAAACCTTTCCCTGATATCCATCCCATCATCCTGAGGGGAAAAACCTTTCTCTGATCTCCATCCCACAATCTTGGGGAAAAAACCTTTCCCTGATCTCCATCCCACCATCCTGGAAGGAAAAACCTTAAACCTTTCCCTGATCTCCATCCCCACCATCCTGGGGGATAAAACCTTTCCCCTGATCTCCATCCCTGGCACAGCTCCAGCCTCTCCCTGGTGTTGAATTTGCAGCAACCCCAACAAGGGGAGAGATGGGTGGATCTGACTCCATGTTCTTAGAAGGCTGGTTTATTATTTTATCATCTATATTATATTAAAGAATGCTGACTAAAGAATAGAGAAAGGGTATAGACAGAAGGCTTAGCAAGAATGACAGTGAAAATTTGTGACTCCTTCCAGAGTCCCAAACACAGCTGGCTGTGATTGGTCATTAAATAAAAACAATTCACATGAAACCAACCAAACAACCACTTGTTGGATAAAAAAATTTCGAAAACCACATTCCAAAGCAGCAAAACACAGGAGAAGCAATCAGATAAATATTGTTTTCATTTTTCTCTGAGGCTTCTCAGCTTCCCAGGAGAGAAATCCTGGGCAAAGGGATTTTTCAGAAAATGTGACAGTGACACAGAATGCAGCCCAGGCAGGGAGAGGGGCTGACCCTGAAGATGATCTCAGCCAGGGAGGAGATGAGGGGAGGCTCAGGGGGGCTCACCTTGAATGTGATCTCGGCCAGGCACCGAGTGCACTTGATGTAGAAGCGGAAGATGGGCAGCCCCAGGTAGGACTCGTTCTGCACCGTCTCCTTGCGGGCGTTGAACTTCTTGCCCTTGTAGATGTACTCCCCACACGTCTTGCACCTGGCCAGGGGCAGGGAAACGTCCTCAGGGGGCAGCAGGGAGGGTGTGGGGTGGTTTTGGGGTCGCCAGGATGAAGGAGGGATTGAGAATCTGACTCTGTGTCCGTGCTCCTGGTGCTGGGTGGGCTTTGAGGCCCTTCCAACCCATCCCAACCCATCCCAGGAGTGACCCCATTATTCCAGGAGTGACCCCACGGTCCCAGGGGTGACCCCATGGTCCCAGGAGTGACCCCATTATTCCAGGAGTGACCCCACGGTCCCAGGGGTGACCCCAGGGCTCCAAGGCTGCTCTCACCTCATGTTGAAGGGGGCCATGAGCCTCACCACGTACTGCCGGTCCTTGGGCAGCTTCAGCTTCGGGATCTTGGCCGGATCGAAGTCCGGGGGGTAATATTTCTGTGGAGAGAGGAGATTTGGGGGTTCTGAGAGTGTTTTTATGGACACAGAGCGGATCTGGGAGTTCTGGAGCACCGGGAATCTCCTCACTCCCCACAGCTCCGCCAGGAGGCTGCAGCCAGGTGGGGCTCGGGCTCTGCTGCCAGGGAACAGCAGCAGGATGAGAGGAAGCGGCCCCAGCGGGATTTAAACCGGACACCGGGAATTCCCTCATGGGAAGGGTTGGTAAATTCTGAATGAGCTGCCCGGGGGGGTCTGGAGTCTCCATCCCTGGAGGTGCCCAAGCACGGCCTGGACGGGCACGCGGTGCTCGGGGCTGGGGACAGGGCGGGCACCAGGCACAGCTGGGACTCGGTCCCGGGGCTTTTCCAGCCTCAGTGATCCCGGGATCCCGAGCGACTCCCGAACCAACCGGGACCCCCCCAGAGCCCTCGGGGAACCCTCCCCTGGCCCAGACCGGCCCGGGACGCTCCCGCGGCCTCTCTGACGGGGATTTTTCCCCAACTCACGTTCAACACTTTCCGTTCCGACATCGCTGCGGCTTCTCCCGATCCCCGGTGCTGCCGGTGCTGCCTACGCGCTCCTCACCGCTTCCGGGTGTGGCCCCGCCCTCTCCGCCGCTCATTGGCGCAGCGAGCTGCGGCCTCCCGCCCCTCGCTTGTTATTGGCTGATCCAGCTGCCTGTCAAAGGATCCGCCCACGGCTGTTGTACAACCCAGCTCAGAGTCCCCCGGAAAGCCGCGACCTCACAACGGGTTCCGCACATTCTTGGGTCCTGGCGGTCGGCTGTCATTCGGCTGGGGAACCCCGGGGCTGCGATCTGGGGCTGGGGAAACTCGGCTTCCTCACAGCAACATGGGATGTGGGCCCCGGTCTCCCCTGATCTCCCCTGACACGTACTCATCATGTAGCTAACACTCCCCAAACCGTCTGGTTTGTGTTTAAAATGTCACTTTCTTTCTAAAAACCAAGGACTCTGAGTCCTGTTGAATTTGCAGCCGTTTTTTCGCTCACTCCAATGAGCATGCGCAGCTATGGCAGCCATGCTGTACGGCACCTCCGCACTGCGCATGCGGCGTTGCCGTTGCCGCCATTCCGTACAGCGCACCTCCCAGCGCGGGCAGTCCCAGGTGCCGCTGCCGGCTGCCCCGCCCGCACCGCGTGGCTGCAGCCCTGCGCACTGTCAGATCCTCACTCGCCGGTGCTGCCCGCGCCTCCCGCACGGCACTGCCACACCGCGCCCGCGCAGATCCGCCATTACGGCCGGCTGTGCCCCCTCAACGCGCATGCGCAGCGCCTCACGCGCCGTTTTCCGCCGCCCGGCGCACGGCCCGTTCCCCCTCGCGCGCATGCGCGGAGCGGCGCCCCCTGGCGGCCCGGCCGGCGCCGCCGTCCCGTCGTGCCCCGCGCTCCCCACACAAAGGACGCGCTGGGAAATGGCGGCGGCCGCGGCCTCGCAAAACGCCCCCGGGAAAATGGAGCCGCCCCCGGCAGCGGCCGCGGCGGCAGCAGCGGCTCCGCCAGCGCCCAACGGGGCGGCCGGCGCGGGGGGGCCGCCCCCCAAGAGGTAGGAGGGCCGTGAGGGGCCGCGCTGCCGGTGGGGCCGAGGGGCCGCGTGCGGCCTCCGCGCTCCTGGGCCCGGCCTGAGGGCGGCGGGGCGGACCGGGGCCGGCGAGGGGTCCCGGAGAGATCGGTACCGGTGCGGGGCCGCTCCTGGCGCTGCGGCCGCTGCTCCCTCCGGGCACGCCTTGGGATCCCGGGCGGGGCCGTCCCGGAGGCGCCTCCGGGGCTCCTGCGGCGCTCTGGGCCCGGTCCCGGCGGGCGGGGAGCCCTGGGATCACCCCCATTCCCCGGGATCACCCCAGTCCTGTGGGATCTCCCATCCCCTCAGGAAAAGCTGCTGCTGAGTTCTGGCGGAGTTTGGGGATGTTTGAGTTCATTGCTTTCTGTGCTTTCAGTAAGTTGTGAGAACTCCGTTGCTCTCAGCACCCCCCTGATCCTGCTGCTCGCTTTTTTGCTCCTTTTTGGAGGTTATTTACCCGTGAGGGGATTTAGGAGCGCACACACCTCGAGGGTGAGAGTTTAAGGTGGTGCCGGGGAGGGGTTGCACAATCCCTCGGTAAAACGTTACAGAAATTCAAACCAGAACCGGCCCCGCTGCAGTTCCGGCTCTGTGAACGTGGGGATGAAGGGCACAAAAAGCCTCTGCTGCTTCTCACTTCCTCGTGTTGGTGCTCGATGGAAATTCCACAGTTGGCAAAGCCGGTTTTGGTGCCAAATGCACTGAATAGAAAGTTCTTCTCTCCCTCAGGGCGTTTTTGCGCTGGGTTTTATGGCGGGGTGATAAGAATCAGGTTGAACCTGGTGTGCTGTGATTCCTGCTGCAGACTCGAGCTTGGATTTGTGTTCCCCGGGAGCAGGAACAGCTTTCCAAGTGTCGCTTTAGGGGAAAAAAGATCCATATTTATTTTGTTTTCCATTGGAGAGCAGTCATACTGTGCTTTGGGCAATAAAATAGTGACAGACAGGATTTCATTGACTGCAGCTTGAGCCAGGCAGGGGCAGAGACACCCCAGGGACAGGGAAGGGTTTCCCACCCTGGATTCTGTTCCCACCACTGCTGGGAACGTGCAATCAGCAGTTTGTCTGCATGAGCAGCCAGTTAACTCCTGGAAGTATAAATAAAGATATCTCTGCTGTGATTTTGGTTTTCCTGACCCTGTGATGCCTCCAGGGAATTTGTTTGTGTCTGCAGGTGCAGTTCTGTTTGGAATGTCCAGCTCCAAACACATTCCACATTTCCACAGGGATAACACCAACACTCCTGTGGCCTTGGGGAAATCCAGTTTAAGAAATACCAACTAAAATCTGAGTGCAGTTTTTAACACAGCTGCATTTTCTGTTATTTCATCAGCCAAACAGAAATGGATTGTCCTATTTCAAGTCTAATTTTGGAGTTTTAATTGTTTCATTAGTTAAGAAGCTTTTAAAAAGTTCAGTGAGAGAAAGACTGGGAAATTTCCATCCCTGTGCCTGGAGAAGCTTTGGCTGCTGGGTGATGGAAGCAGAACAGAAATGTTATCAAAAGAAACCTTCAGAGGTTTCTACGTTCTTAATTTCCTTTTTCCCTGCAGGCTGTTGTGTTGGAATGGTTCTGAAGGGATTTCCTGGGATTTCTGACCCGGAATTTGCAGGGCTGCACAGGTGCTGGGTTGGGAAAAGCTCAGGACAGAGAGATTGTACAAAATTCAGCTTTTGTATCTCTTGTGTTCTGAATTTCTCCTCAAGATGTGTTGGTGCATCTTCTCCAGCAGCACTGAGTGAGCAAGGAGATTAATTGGATTAGTGAAGGGAATTATGTAAGACTGAAGCTGAAGCTTTTTCTTCCCTTGGTTTGGTTTTTTTCCTTTCAAGATGGGCTGTGCTGAGGTTCCTTCCCATCCAGACTGCTCAGGGCTTCAGTGCTGCAGCCCTGGTTTTGTTCTGTGTCCTTTCCCACTCAAACTGCTCAGGGTTCTGTGCTGCAGCCCTGGTTTTGTTCTGTGTCCTTTCCCACTCAAACTGCTCAGGGTTCTGTGCTGCAGCCCTGGTTTTGTTCTGTGTCCTTTCCCACTCAAACTGCTCAGGGTTCTGTGCTGCAGCCCTGGTTTTGTTCCCTACCTGTCCTTTCCCACCCAAACTGCTCTGGTTTTGTTCCCTCTGTGTTTTTTCCCACCTAAACTGCTCAGAGGTTCAGTGCTGCAGCCCTGGTTTTGTTCTGGCTCTGCTCCATCCCCAGCAGCTCACAGGGCTCTCTGGTTTTGTTCTGGTCCTACTCCATCCTCAGCAGCTCACAGGGCTCTCTGGTTTTGTCCCTCTGGTTCTGTTCTGTCCCTGCCCCATCCCCAGAGCTCACAGGGGTCTCTGGTTTTGTCCCTCTGGGGATTCTGTCCCTACTCCATCTCCAGCAGCTCACACGGCCCTCTGGTTTTGTCCCTCTGGTTTTGTCCCTCTGGTTTTGTCCCTCTGGTTGTGTTCTGTCCCTGCCCCATCCCCAGAGCTCACAGGCTCTCTCCTTGCAGCGAAGGCGAGCGCCCGACCCCCAATGAGAAGAAGAAGGAGAAGGGGATGAAGAGGGGAGGGAATCGCTTCGAGCCCTACGCCAACCCCGCCAAGCGGTACCGAGCCTTCATCACCAACATCCCCTTCGATGTCAAGTGGCAGTCCCTGAAGGACCTGGTCAAAGAGAAAGGTAAAGTGCAGCTCAGGTGGAGAGGCTGTGTGTGCTCCAGCCCGGGCCTGGCTCTCTCTGCAGCTCAGCACTCGCCTCTGGGTGCACTTGGCCAGAGAATTTGGGAAAGCTCTTCCCGAAGCCTCCTGGGTGTTGCACAACCTCGTCCCTGGCAGCCTTCCAGGGATGGTTCCTGTGGCATGCAGCTGATAGAGCCTCATCCCAGCATTAGCAGTGTTTTCTTAGGGATCCAGCCCCAGGCTTTCAGCAGGTTTTAGTGCAGCAGAACTTTCTGAAGCATGTTAATGTTTTTGGCATTCAGGGTTACGTGCTGCTCTGGTGTGTGGATACCCAGCGGTGTCCCCAGACTCGCAGGGGTCTGGGCTGGCTCCCAGAGCCATTCTGCCATTGCTTGCAATTCAGTGTGTGGAAGGGTGACCTGCACAATCAGGTTGGTGCTTTGGCATGTGGAATCAGGGCTTTGGAAATCAGGTTTGTGGTGTTCCCCTTCCACAATTCCCTTTAGTTCCATGTGGATGGGAGCTGCCTTTGCTGACCTGATGCCTTCATCTCTTGAGGAAGATGAAGAGATTGAGCTGAGTACTCAGGCAGTGACAAGTCTAAAGTGGTGTCATTTCTTCAGGCTGGTGCCCAGCTTTCTAGTTTTCAAGTCACCTTGGAAGTGCAGTGGAGTGGCAAGAAAATCCTTGGCTTGTCCAGCCTTAAAATGTCTAAAAACCAAGTTCAGAGTAACAGCACAACATTTCCTGTGGGCACTTCTGGATGCAGAGCCTCAGCCAGGGTAGTGGGCAGTGGTCATTGTGCTGGAGCTGGGCAAGGACTGACAGCTCAGGTGTTTGAGGTGTGGCCTAAAGAAGGGGAAAACAAAGTTCCAGAGGGTCTCAATGGTTTGTCTTCGGTGGCAGAAGGGAACAGAGTCTGTGGAGCAGCCGTGGGGACTGGGAGCTTCCCTCATGAGGGGCTGTTTGAGAGGCTGCAGTGGGTTTGTGCCATGGCAGCAGTGCCAGCCTCAGGGGCTGCTTGAGCAGACCCTGATGGTGGATGGAGCCCTCAGTGCCCCGTGGCTGCCCCAGAGCCGTTGGTGTTCGGGTGTGGAGGTGTCCAACTCTCTGAGCTGTGTGGGATCCCGTTCCCAGTGTCTGTGGTTTCTCCTGTGGATGGCAGAGGCCGGGCTGGGATTGTTTCCTGCTGGGCTGTTCAGCTGCTCATTCCAGCAGGAGCTCCTGAGGGAACCTTGGATCCTTTTCCTTCTGGCTGCAGGGCTTGTCCTGCTCAAACTGAGGTCATTCCTGGGGTTTGGCACTGCTGGTGAATCCAGCAGTTTGGATTTGCCCTGGAGCTGTTCTGGACTTCTCTCTGGAGCTGTGCTCAGTCCTTGGCCCAAGGCAGAGCAGTTCCAGGCCCCAGGAACTCCGACCCCTTGGAATTCTTGCTTTGGAAGCGTAAGAACGCCAGGCCCAACGTCCCAGGCTGTGGGAGCAGGTGGAGTTCTGTGCCCGAGGGGAAACCCTGGGTGTGTGAGGGCTCTGTGGCAGCAGGAGCTCAGCTCGGGGCTGTCCCTGCAGCCTGGGAGTGGCCAGGCTGTCCAGGTGCCACCTCTGGCTCTCCCCACGCCGTGGATTGGTTGGAGAAACTCAATTACAGGTATGCAGTGGGAATGTTGGTAATGCAATGAAGAGATGTTCTTGCTTGGAACTCCCTGGTTTAGCTGGCAGACACGAGGTGTTACCTTAGTGCACAGTCCCCAGGATTTGGTCCCAGTGTGGGGTTCTGGGGAGGGATGGGGAGGGGATGTGCTGTTCTGCCCTTGGCCTGTTCCCCCTTCCTTTTGCTGAAGTCTCTGATCAGTTGCTCTGTTTCCCTTGGGCTTTCACCATCTTTCCAAGGGATCTCAGCCCTTCCCTGGCTGCAGGGAGCTTTTCACTCCCTCTGCTGCCCGAGCTCTTCAAGAGCCTAAATCACCTTGTCTGGGTGTTCTCTTGCAAAAGGGAAGTTTCCCTTCCCCATCTGTGACAGAAGTGCTGACTGCTGTCTCTGCTTTGGGAAGGTTTTCCTTCTCCCTTTTCAGCCAAAGCTTTGCATGTGTAAACCTGGCTCCTGTTCTCCCCCCTGTAACTTTTCAGGGGTTGTCTGTCCCAAGCTTTTACCTGTGATTGAGGGAGAGCTGTGGCCAGCTCTGCTTTGCCTCACACTGCAAATGTGAAGCTTTCTGATCCTCTTGGATCACTGGTTCTTCAGAAGATGAGGAGACATCCAGCCAGTTTGGGGTTTTCCTTCCATGTTTAGTATTTACTTTTGGCCCTGGAGGCCGAGGAATAACTGCTTTGAAGCATTTCCCCTGTCCCAGTTCTGTGCTTGCTCCCACTTCCCTTTGAACCTTTCACACCTCTCAGAGCTCTTTGGTTTGTCACAAACTGTTCAAATCAAAGTGCCCAAGCTAAAGTTGTTATTTCTGTCTGAGCTTGTTCTGGGGAGTTCCCAGATGTGTCTTGAGGGCCTCAGATCACCCTGTGAATCCTGACCTGAGATTCCTGGCCAGGCCCTGCAGAGTATTGGAGTTCTGCTGGAGCGGCCCAGCTTGAACACTGGCATTTTCTGTACTGATAAACTTTGAAAAGTGATGCAAAGTTTTAAAGCAGATTAAAAATAGTGCCTGTGATAAATAGCACTGAAGCTTCCTTCACTTAGGATTTCTGGTTATTGCAGTAAATTCTGCTCCAGTCTCTTGGTTTGGGAAAAGCTGCATTTCCAAACTTTAAGTGTGAGATTTAAATAAATCCATCAATCAGTCTCCCCTACATTAAGTCTTGAAGACACCATGGGGAAGATGTTCCTTCATGGAACCTGCAGTGACTGGAGCCAGTGTCTTTGGGAAGCTCCTGAAGTGACAGTGTTTGTGCTTGGATGAAATTCCTCTGGGATGTTCCCTGTCAGAATCCAGCTGTTCTCTGGCACAAGGGAGTCCTGCCAGGGTCCCTGGGCATTTATCCTGGTCCAGCACATGGATGTCTCCTCCTGGCACTTTTCCATGGCATCCTGTGCGTTGGGATCTAGAAAAACACCCCAAAACCCCAAATAAAATGTGACCCAGCCTAGCTTCTTAAAACAGATTTCCTTTGCCAGCTGCAGACAAGGTTCTCCTGGCAGAGGGGTTGGGTTGGCTCCTCTCACACATTTTAAGGTGAAATTAAAGCATTTTCATGGCAGTGGTTGTGGCTCTGTCTTGGCTCAGAGCTGTGGCAGTGGGGCTGTCATTCCCCTCTCCTGCTGTTCTGAAATTGGGCTCCTCAGGAAGTTCAGGTGTCCTTCAGAGCAAAGCAGCTACTTCAGGCTGGACATTTGGATTTTCATGGATCTGTAAGGCTCCAGCAGGAAGTTCTGAGCAAAATCGGTGCAGACTCAACTTCCCAAGGGGTTCCTGGAGGTTTGTGCTTCAGAGTCAGGGACTGGTTACAAGAGCAGGTGTCAGTACTGGGTATCCTCAAGCTTGGCAGACTCCTTGGGAGCTGTTGGTGAGGAGCTGTAGGATATTTGGATTTTCATGTATCTGTAAGGCTCCAGCAGAAAGCTCTGAGCAAAATTAGCACAGACTCACCTTCCCAAGGGATTCCTGGAGGTTTGTGCTTCAGAGTCAGGGATTGGTTACAAGAGCAGATGTTTAATGGTACTGGATATCCTCAAGCTTTGCAAACTCCTTGGGAGCTGTTGGTGAGGAGCTGCAGGTGGGAGAGGAGAGGAGAGGAGAGCCCTCACTCTGGGCAGTGCCAGACCTGGAAGCTGTGCCTCACAGAGGATTTGGAATGGAGCTCACTGGGAAGAGCTGAATCCTGCCCAGGTGAGGCTGGACTGTGGCTGCTGCTGTTGAGCTGGGTGGCAACAGAACCTCAGGGCACTGCTGGGTTTTTTTTTTTATTTTATTTTTTAAATTTTTTTTAAAATTTTAATTTTATTTTTAAAAACAACAGAACCCAGGGCTCCTTGGGAGCAGCCCCAGTGTGCTGTGGGAACTCAGAGGGATTTACAGCTGGAATTCCTTCTCAGGCTGATCCCAGCGTGGATCCAGCTGCTGGAGCTGTGGGTGGTAATGGAAACCCCGCTGGAGTCCCTTTCAGAGGGACTTGCCAGCCTTCTCCAGCCTCAAACATTGTCCTGCCAAAAGCAGGAGTGGATCAGAGCTGCTCATCCTGTTCTCTGAATGGAATGCTCCTACTGCTAAATTATTGTTTAAAATTAGAAATGGAGATTACAAATCAATGGTTTTGTTAAACATTCCTGGTTTTTTCCAGCTTCAGGAGAGCCCTTCCAGGCTGTCAGTTTTCCACAGTGTCCTGTAAATTGCTGGGCCTGGGGAGGTCAGGCTGAGCACCTCCCTGTGTGCCTGGCAGAGTCCTGTGAAACCCCAGTTCAGCTATTCATACTCAACTGGTTTCCCACAAATAAAACATTCCACTGTCCTGATAATGCAGCTTGGAGTCCTCCTGGTTTAAATTTAAACCCTAGGACTTCTAAAACCAGAAACAAAAAAATATTTTTATGAAAGTGTTTATTCCATTCTTCTGTTTGCCAGTCCCTTCAAAGGCAGCAGCCATTTGGGTAGGTGCATTCTGGAGGTCCCTGCCAGGGTTATTTGGTCCTAGAGAGGCAATCCCAATGCTGTGAGGAAAGGTGGAGTTTTCCATCAACTGCCTTTTGCTGTTGACAGTTTTGTCTTGAGAGCAAACATGGCAGATTTTAATGCTAAAATAGAATTTGTTGTGGATTAAAAACCTGTTAAAATAAATGCAGTTAAACCTGTTAAAATAAAGCAGGCAGTGATCTCTTGATCCGTTGGTTCAGTGTGACTCCTTTTTTGTTTTTAAATCCTGACAAAAACAAGTCACTTGAAATTCTGGATTGTGGAGCCAGGACTGCATCCTGTGGGAAGGGAAGGAAATTTGTTCCTGCAGCCTTTCCCATGGGTTTGGATTGCCTCAGGTAACGAGTGGGCACTAAAGATCCAGGGAACTGCGGAAATTTGTCTTTTGAGGTGGAGGAAAACCAAGAACATATTGAAGTGCTTGAAGCCTTTACTGCATACCTGTAATTGTCCAGTTTTGTGGTCTAGAGAACATGGAGTGTTTCTGGGCTTTCTTATAAGGCAGAGGCTCCATACACGGTTGTTGATTGTTCTAAATTCCCATTGTTTTCTTGGCTTTTCTCCCTTGGTATCTGTGTCGTCTGGAATCTGATTTGTAGTTGGTGAGGTAACATACGTGGAGCTCTTAATGGACGCTGAAGGAAAGTCAAGGGTAAGTGTTTGAGAGTTTCTTTGTGGATTTTCTACCTGAAATGTTTCTGTGTGCTGGACAGGAGGCCAGGGAGGCTCAGAGTGTGGATGTGCAGTGGCTCTAGGTCAGGAGTGCCGTGGGATGGGAGGAGGTGGGGTGGGCTCTGCAGGCAGGAGCTGTTCCCCGCGTGCCGTTGGCGTTGGCCGTGTGACCCTGGAGCCCAGCAGGCAGGACGGGGCTCTGCAAGATTCCTGTGCTTTGGAAAAGTCACTCGAGAGGTTGGCTGAGTTTGGAAAGGCCAGGGTGCAACAGCAGGTGCTGCAAACTCCACTCCTGGGCCAGCAGAGAGAGAGGGAAATTGAAATTCCTAAATGTAAACGTTCAGTGCCTTCATGGGCCTTGAGCCCAGGGTCAGGGAGAACAACAGGAGCACTCCTGAGTGTCCTGAAGGATATGGATGTAGGGTGAGAGTGTGGAGGGTTTTGCTGTATGCCAGGGAAGAAGAGCAGGTCACAGGAAGCGTGTGGCATTTCTTGGAGAGTCGGGATTTAGTGTTTGTTACCAGCTCAGAGACCCCAGGTTAATCCTCTTAAGGCATAAGAAGTTATGGAATTCCACTATTGGAGGCTTGCCTGTGTAAGGTTACATTTATTTTCGCTGCTAGGGCTTAACTGATGTGATTTGGCTTTAATAATAAAATAGTTGTGTGTGATTTGGGCTTTCACTGACTTTATTTCTTCTCTCTTCCCTCCTGCCTGTGACTGCCCTGGGGAATCACCTCGCCAGGGATGCGCGTAAGTTCACTCTGAATTTTTAGCAGAAACCCAAGGAGGCTTCTCCAAACAAAACCTCCTGAGCTGTGCTGTGTCCCCACAGGGTGGTTGAGTTCAAGATGGAGGAGAGCATGAAGAAGGCTGCTGAAGTTCTGAACAAGCACAGTCTTGGTGGGAGACCCCTGAAAGTGAAAGAAGTAAGGAGGGGATCTGTTCTGGCAGGGCTGGAGGGAAGGGGGAGTTCTTGTTAAGGGTTTAGGGCTGACTCAGAGGATAATGGACAGAAAGCAGGACTTTAATAGGATAAAAAACCCCAGTCAGCCTTTTTCTAATCGTTTTAACCACTGCTGAACTGTGATTATCAAGACTAAATTTGATGTGAGGACAAAGCCGGAGTTTGGCTTTAACTGCAGTTCCTTTGTTAATGATCTGACGCAGAAACCCCCATGTTTGTTCTTTACAAACTTCCCTTTGAATTCTGCATCGGAATGAATGGATTCCACCACCAATTCCATAGAATCAGCTCTTTCCTGGAATACCTCAAAGATGTGTTTCCATTTTAGTGGCTTTACTACTAACAGCCAGGCCTGGGAGTTCATTCCAAACCCTCTCCAGTGGCACTGGGGATTTATCAGGGTTTGGAACAGGTGTAACAAAGGTTTGCTCTTGGTATTAATGATGGATAAACACCTTGAGAACCAGGAAAATGCCTGGGGAGGATAACTCCAATAATAAAGGATACCATTAATAAAGGTGTTGAATTTGCAGGCAACCCTGACACGGGAAGAGATGCCAATCTTGACTCCATGTTTCAGAAGGCTGATTTATTATTTTATATTACATTAAAAGAAAATGATATATTAAAAGAATAAAAGAAAGCATTTCATCAGAAGGCTTGCAAGGAATAGAAAGGAATGGAATGATAATAAAATCTTGTGACTGCTCGCAGCCTCGACACAGGTGGCTGTCATTGGTCATCAAGTAAAAACAATTTCACATGCTGGATAAACAATTCTCCAAATCACATTCCAAAGCAGCAAAACAGCTGAAACTTCCCAGCTTCTCAGGAGAAAAGATCCTAATGAATGGATTTTTCATAAAATGTGTCTGTGGCATAAAGATATCGTTTAAATGATAAAAGGGTGCTGAGTGTTGGCTAAAATAAAATAAATGGCAGTGAAAGGGAGGCAGTTGGCTGGGAATGCTTAGGGAACACACATCCTGGGATAAAGGGAGACTCTGTCTGTGCCTGTTGGTGCCCTGGCACTGACTGGTGTGTCATAGGAAGGGGACCAGGACACCAGGTGGTTCATCACAGGTCCAGTTTATTGAAGAAAGTATCAAACACTTATACAGCAAATAATAAGCTTATGAATATTCTGTAAGCCAAGCAATCTATTGGTTAAACTATACCATGAACTCTTCCTCATTCCTTAGGGGTTACATCTCTCTTTTCTCATGTCTCTTTCACTATTTGTTATCCTACTACAACTAGGCCCAAGGACACACTGTCTCACAGGTGCAGGACTTGGAATTAGCCACGGCTTTGTACTTTTCCATTCTCTAGTCACCTAAATTTCCCAACACTGGTGGATGGGGGATCTGATCTGATCTGAGTGTGTGTTTGTGTCCCCAGGACCCCGACGGGGAGCACGCCAGGAGGGCCATGCAGAAGGTGATGGCAGCAGGAGGGATGGGCATCGGGCCCGGCCCTGGCGGCCCTGGCATGATCAACATCCCCCCCAGCATCCTGAACAACCCCAACATCCCCAACGAGATCATCCACGCCCTGCAGGCCGGCCGCCTCGGCAGCACCGTCTTCGTGGCCAACGTGAGTGCTGCAAATCCTGCATGGGAGCCCCTCAGCTGGGGCAAACCGAGGCAGGAAAAGCCTTGGCAATGCCAGGAAAAGCTCCTCTGTGTCCTGTTGGTTCTCTGTGCAAAGGAGGCTCTCAGTTAAGGTGTACCACAGTGTCTGTTAATTGGGATTTTTGAACAAACCTCTGTGCTTTGATTGAATTTTATCTCAGCTCTCTGACAACTTCAATACCAGGGAAGGACAGGAGCCCACTAAAGCTGTTTTCTCTCTTGCATTTCCAACGCTGCCCTGTTTTCCAGCTGGACTACAAGGTGGGCTGGAAGAAGCTGAAGGAGGTGTTCAGCATGGCCGGGGTGGTGGTGCGGGCCGACATCCTGGAGGACAAGGACGGCAAGAGCCGCGGCATCGGCACCGTCACCTTCGAGCAGGCCATCGAGGCCGTGCAGGCCATCTGTATCCTTGGCACAACCTGGGAGTGGGGCAGGGAGCACACCAGGGCGGAGGGGGAGCTGGATTCCAAAGGAGGATGTTGCCATGGCAGGGAAGGTCAGGTTGTAGTGGATGGAAAATGGAATTTTGTCTCTCTTTTGCTTTTCCCTCTTTCGCTTTTCCTTCTTGAAGGAATTGTTGCAGTTTGCTCAGGATCTTTAGCAAAGGAAATTCTCTTTCCTGCCTGGATAAATGTACTTCTGTGTCAGATGAGTTTCTGTCTCTAGGTTGTAATTAGCATTAAAATGCAATTGTCTGGAAAGGGGAAAGGTCCCCGTGCCAAGGCACACAGAGCTGGTGTTTTCCTGTTCCCTTTCACTGGCCAAGCAATGATTTGCCACCTAGAAACCAAACAGCAATAAAATTCCAGATATGACTCTCTCAGTTCCTGGTTATGGTATGGATAGGAAGAAAATACTCCCTCTTTCCTTTCCCAAAGTTTCTGTTTGAAGTGTTAATTCCCTTCTGCACTGCACCCACTAAACCTCGTGTGAGCCAGACTTGGGCAGAGGATTTGCTGGCATGGCACACTTCAGAATGTGGTGTTGCTGTGGAACTTTTCCCTGTTTTCAATGGATAAACTGACTGAGGAAGCACTTAAACACTTGGGCTGACTTAGAGTTACATTTTATATCTCTTTGTGAACTTAATCTTACCCAGAAATGCGCTTTTATCATTCTTTTAAATTTCAAAAAGCCTTTTTTTTTGTGGTGTTCAGTATATTTGGATTTCAAGGCTTTTTAGTTTTGGAGAAGGCAGAAGCATTTGGGATAATCTGTGAATGATAACTGAGGAGATGAGATTTTCTGAGGGGTTTTTGTGCTCCCTGTCAGAGCCCTCAGTGTTTGAACAATGATCCTTAACAACCCCCAGCCATGTTCAATGGGCAGCTGCTCTTTGACAGACCCATGCACGTCAAAATGGTGAGGACACCCCCATTCCCACTGACTGGCAGTGCCCTCCTGATCTGGGGGGAATTTGTGGTTCCCAGGATGAATCAAAATCCAGAAGGGGAAATGTGTGATTTGCTTGTTGCCTGCTGAATTGATGTAATCAGGGATGGTTAATTCAGATTATTTTGCTAAAAGGCAAATCAAAACTACAGTCAAGACTGCTTTAACTGAAATTTCTGTATTTTAATTCAAAGTTTGAAGAATCAGGAAATAATTTCCTGCTTTCCTTGCTAGCTTTAACGTGTTGAATTCCTTTTAGGATGAACGAGCCTTCCCCAAGGGAGATTTCTTCCCTCCAGAGCGACCCCAACAACTCCCTCGTAAGTGTCCCCTGCATGATTCAACATCTTCTGCTTTTTATTTGGCTGTTCAGCACCTGGGAGCCAGTCCCAGCCCCAGTAAAACTCTGGTTCAGACTGGAAAACTGGGATCCAAATTCCTGAATCATTTCAGAAAGGGGAATAGTGAAGAAGAGCTGCTCAGTGATTTTTTTTGGATACTTCTTTCAGCTCATGGCCAGAAGCTTGTCTTAAAACATTCACCTTCTCAAGGCTTCCAGAGCTCTCCATTGCAATTCCAGGATCCCAGAGCCTTCCATTAATAGTGGGATTTAATGGAAATACAGTGAATGAGCACCTCCTTCTGTGGGATGGTGCTCTGGGAATGGAATGTTCTCCCTTAAATTGGAAGGGCTGAATTCAGGACTTGAGAGCCTTCCAGGCCTTCACATTTCCAAAGGAGATCTTATCAATGTATTAAATATGGAAAGAAGAGGGGGAACCAGGCTCTTCTTGGAGGTGCAGGATGCAGAAAGCACCGACCAAAACCCGGGAGATGAAAATTCAGAATAATTGGCTGCCCCAAGCTGCTCCTTCCAACTTGGAATTTGAATGAACTAAAAGGTCAAGTCTAAAGCAGCAGTGGAAATCCACAGGCTCCACGTGGATGTAAGGAGACATTCCTGGGAGGGTGACTGGGTTGCTCAGAGCTCCTGAGGAGTCTCCATCCCTGGCAGTACCCAAAGCTGTGGATGTGATCTGGGCTGAGCTGAGGCCCCTCCCAACCTTGGCCATGCTGGGATGGGATCCTGGAATGCTGAAGAGAAGAGTTGGGGCTGGAAGAGCTGGAGGCTGAGTTGGTTCAAACACAGCTAAATTGGGGCTGTTGGTGGAATTTGAATTTGAATTGCCCTGAGCAACCTGGGCTGTGCAAGGGCAGGGGCTGGCAGTGGATGAGCTTTAAGGTCCCTTCCAACCCAAACCAGTCTGGCATTCTGGGATTCTCTGAATTCACACAGATGCTGTTTTCTTCCTGGGAACCAGGCCTGTTGTGTGCTGCTAAATTGCCCATTATTAATGGTCATTAATTAGTCCCTCCCTAGTTCAGCTCTCAGTGCCTGTCAAGGCCCTCCTCAGCAGCAGTGTCACTGTAAGGATGTTCCTCTCTTCAGGACAAACTCATTGGGTTCCAGTTCCATGACCTTGGTGTTAAACTCCCTAAATCCCTCTGGAAGCCTGGATTTTGGCCTTTGCTGGGGCGGGGAAGGGGGACCTTGTGCTGTTTTAAAACAAGATTCAACACTCCTGTGTTCAGTGCCGAGCTGGAAACGAGGGAATCCTGCAGGCGCAGGATGCCATGAGCTGCTGTTTGTGCCAAGCAGAGAGCTTTCTTCCTGCTTCAGGAAAAACAAAAAAGGGCTTTTCCTTCTTTCTTTGGGCTGGGGAATCCTTGAGGCAGATTGGGCTCCTTGCCTGTTGTGTTTGCTCAGAGAGAGGCTGGCTGTGTGCTCCAATTCCATCGGTGGCTGTCAGTGATCCAAGGGTGCCTCAGTTCTCCCCTGGCAGGGCTGGAGGTGAGAACTGTGCACAGCTTTAGGGGATCTTCTCCCAAATTGCCCACTCCACCCTCCTCACACGAGGGCTTTGCCCAAATGAAGCAGTGTTCTAGCCAGTTATTTTTCAGGAGTCAGCTCCAAACCAAGTTTTCTCAGCAGTAAGATGGAAATTTAAATATAAAACCAAATAATTGGAGATAGTTTTTAGCCTATTTCAAGACACATCTACTCTTGATTTATTCCACACTTCCCTGCTTTCAGTACACACCCCACAGGGGGGACACAGCAAGCTTTTTTTTGGAGAATGAAAGTCAATTACTTAAGAAATAAAACTTGCTGTTTTGTCAAACTATGGAAAGAAGGCTTTTTTGATATCTGAATATTTTCTTCAGATGGTCTTGGTGGTATTGGCATGGGATTAGGACCTGGAGGTCAACCTATTGATGCAAATCATATAAACAAAGGCATGGGAATGGGCAACATGAGACCTGGAGGTAAGATTACTCCTATGCTTTTGTTTCATGAGAGCTTTAAGCTGTGTAGAAGGTAGATAGCTTTGTTTGCCTCCCCAAAAAGTTGGTAGCTTCTTAGGAATGTTAAAGCCAAATGAGTTTTTTTTTGTTCAGCTTGATAATGGAAACTTGAATTTAACCAACTGCTCCATTTTTATTTTTTTTTTTTTCACTGTGGTCAAGACACAGCTCTCATTTTCTGACTCTTGAGCATGAGCAGCAGACACTGCAAAGATCCATGAAACTCCAAACCATCTCTCACTTTTAACACCTCTAGTGGGCTTGCAAATCTTTGGTGAGGATCTCTTGAAATAGCACAAGTTTCAAAGAGCCACCTAAAAAGTAGCACACACTCAGCTTTCCATGTCGAAATGCCAGTGGGTTTTTCCCCTTTGCTGCTTGATTTTCTGAGCAGGAATGTTGAAATCTCCTCAGACTTATCCCATGTAAGCTCTTCAGCCCAAGCCATGGATGTGTTGTATGGTTTGAGTTCTGCAGCCTTTGGCTGGAATTTCTTGGGTGATGCCTGCTATATAAAGCTTTCTCTTTTATTTTGAGGAATGGGAATGGAAGGCATGGGCTTTGGAATGAATAAAATGGGAGGTAAGCTGTTGGTTTTTGATCTGTTCCTAGTTTTGTGCAAGTCCTTTGTGCAGACTGAGCTGTGTGTGTGTGGCAGGAATTGGTGTGCTGGGGAGTCATCACCAATTCAGCAAGAATTGGGTCCTTTTTGGGTATTCAAACTGCTGCAGGTGTGTGGGGAGGGTGGGTACATCCCATAAAACATGGCCTGTGCTTCCTTAGCTCGGGAGATCTGGAAGTGCCATCCCTGGGGGTTGGAACCGGATCCTCAATACCCCAACCCAACCCACTCTGTGATTCTGTGGTTTTTATAACACTGTGCCCAAATCCTGACCCTTTTTGGGACCTGGTGCTGCGTGGGAATGTTGTGTGGCAGCAGCTGCTGGCTGTGCAGTGTGGAATGCCCTGCTGAAGAATCCCCAAACTGTGTTTTTCAGGAATGGAAGGTCCCTTTGGTGGCATGGAGAACATCGGGCGCTTCCCCGCCGGGATGAACATGGGCAGGATGAGCGGTAGGCACTGGCTGTGTGTGTCCTGCTGCCTTCCCTGGCAGGGATCCCTCTTGCCAAAAGCCTCTTCTCAGTTTTATGGGAATAACTTGGGGTTTTTCCTGTTGTGTCCCTAAGTTCCTCGTGGTTTCTGAGCTGCACAAACCCAGTGATTTATTGATGGAACCTTGCGGGGTTTATTCAGAAATATTCTGGCTCTGTCCCGTGTGTTTGGGGTAAATCCTGCTTTTCCTTGAGGCTTTGGTCTCCTGAAGCTATGACAGAATGATCAGGAGAAAATCACAAAAACTTCCTGTGCTGTGCATCTTCAGGATGATTCCTGTGGTAAAATGTTCTCTCAGGGGCCATAAAACCCCCTGCAAACTTCTCCACTTCCTCTTTGCAGAGATGGATCGAGCCATGGGAGGGGGATTTGAGAGGGAGTTTGGAAGAAATGAGATGGGAATGTCCCGGAGTTTTGGAGAGCCCCTGGAGAGGGGAATAGGTGAGTGCAGTGTATGAAATCCATTTCCTGCCTGCTTTTCATCCCTGAACTGCTCACTAAAATTATGGGGGTGTTACAGATAAAAAAAGCAGATTTTAGATTTGCTGTAGGAATTTGCGGTCTGGCTTTTAAATACTGTTGGGAAGTTGTTCATTTTTGTCAGTGAAAACAAAATCCTGCTTCTCCTGCTGCCTGTGTCACATTTAGCTTCCAAGCACGTTCCCTGGAAATATTGGGCAATATCAGTAATGAAAGTGCAGAATTTCTGGAGCAAAGCTGAACCCAAACATCCCTGAGCAGGCAGAGCTCCTCCATCAACTTCCAGATTTAATTTGGTTTAACGACCAAATCACAACATTTCAGAATCAAGGGAACCATTCCCTGTGTCCTGTCCCTCCATCCCTTGTCCCCAATCCCTCTCCAGCTCTCCCTGGAGCCTTCCCTGGTCCAGGTGAGCACTCCCAGAGCTCCAGAGGGGCTCCAGCCCTGGGAGCAGCTCCGGGATCTCCTCTGGACTCTCTCCCAGCACCTCCATGTCCTTATTTTGGGGTCCCAGGGCTGGGGCAGCTCTGCAGGGGGGTCTGACCTGTGCCTCTGGGTTTCCCTCACCCTGCAGGTGCAGAGCCCTGGCCTGGGGGAGCTCTGAGCGCTGGGAATTGATCCCAGCAGAGCGAGCAGCCCTCAGGACTCTGCATGCCCACCCTGCTGACGCCGTCTGTGCTGTGTTGCAGGTGGTGGCAACGCCAGCATCCCCGGCATCGAGAGGATGGCGCCTGGCATCGAGCGCATGGGCTCGGGCATCGAGCGGCTGCCGGCCGGGATGGGGCACGGCATGGAGCGGGTGGGCTCGGACATAGACAGGATGGGGCTGGTGCTGGACCGCATGGGCTCCAACGTGGAGCGCATGGGCTCGGGCATGGAGCGCATGGCCCCGCTGGGCATCGACCACCTGGCGCCCAACCTGGAGCGCATGGGGCCGGGCATGGAGCGCATGGGGCCGGGCATGGAGCGCATGGGCTCCGGCATCGGCTTCGGCATCGAGCGCATGGGCGCCGCCATCGAGCGCGTGGGCGGCGCCATGGACAGGATGGGCTCGGGCGTGGAGCGCATGGGGGCGGGCATGGATAGGATGGGCATCGGCCTGGAGCGCATGGTGCCCGCCGGCATGGGCGCGGGCATGGGGCAGGTGATAGAGAGGATGCCCGCGGGGCTGGAGCGCATCGGGGGCCCGCCCATGGACAGGATCGGGATAGAGAGGATGGGAGCCGCCCCCATGGACAGGATGGGCCTGGAGCGCATCGGGGCCGCCAACATGGAGAGGATGGGGCCGCCCATGGGGCAGGGCATGGGGGCGGGCATGGAGCGCATGGGGCTGCCCATGGGCGGCAACTTCGAGCGGCCCATGGACATGGAGCGGGGCAACTTCGCAGGGAATTTTGCAGGGTCCCTGGGAGGAGCCGGAGGCCCTGCGCCCGGCGTGGCCCGGAAAGCCTGTCAGATATTTGTGAGAAATGTGAGTGCCCCTTCTTCTTCTCCCACTCCTGTCCTTTCCCTCCCCTCCCTTCCCACCCATTGTCACTCATGTGTTGATCCCATCCATGCTCGGTTTCCAGTCTCAGTGTCTGATACTGGATGCTGCCACTCTTTGGGGACAGCTGGAGCCATTTCCTTACCAGGAGAGCTCCTGGCTGATCATGGTTTTACAGCAGTGGCTGTCCTGGGATAGATTCTGGTTTTGGGAAGCTGGGGGTGCCTGCAGGTCATTCAGCAGAGCCTCAGTAATGGTTTATTCCTCTCTTCCCACAGCTGCCTTTTGATTTTACATGGAAAATGCTGAAAGATAAATTCAATGAATGTGGTGAGTTATTTTCCTCACTCTGAGGAATTAATATGAATAACTTTCCAGAGCTCTTGAGTGCCAGGGCTAGGGTGGGGAGCAGAATGGAGACTGGATAAAGGGTTCCAGAGCCAGGATGGGGAGCAGTCCTTGGGGTGGGGAACGGGGACTGGATGGAGAGTGCCAAAGACAAGGTGGGGACCAGTCCTTGAGGGAATTGGGATTGGATGGAGAGTGCCAAAGCCAGGACGGGGAGCAGTCCTTCAGGGAATTGGGATTAGATGGAGAGTGCCAAAGCTGAGGTGGGGAGCAGTCCTTGGAGTGGGGAATTGGGATTGGATGGAGGATGCCAAAGCCAGGATGGGGAGCACTTCTTGGGGTGGAGAATGGGGATTGGATGGAGGGTGCCAGGGCCCTGGTGGGGAGCAGTCCTTGGGATGGAGAACACCCAAGCCAGGATGGGGAGCAGTCCTTGGGGTGGAGAACAGGGACTGGGTGGGGAGTGCCTGACCGTGCTGTGCCCGCAGGCCACGTGCTCTATGCTGACATCAAGATGGAGAACGGCAAATCCAAGGGCTGCGGCGTGGTGCGCTTCGAGTCGCCCGAGGTGGCGGAGCGCGCGTGCCGCATGATGAACGGGCTGCAGCTGCGCGGCCGCGAGATCGACGTGCGGATCGACCGCAACGCCTAGGCACCGTGCAGGGCTGTGCTGCACCGCTGCAGGGCTGTGCTGCACCGCTGCAGGGCTGCACCGCTGCAGGGCTGTGCTGCACCGCTGCAGGGCTGCAACACTGCAGGGCTGTGCTGCAATGCTGTGGGGCTGCACCGCTGCAGGGCCCGCGCCTCCGCCCTGCACCGCTGCACCACCGCACCACTGCAGGGCTGCAGCTCTGCCCCGCGCCTCCTCCTCCTCTCTGACTGGATGTAAAGCTGTTCAGCCCGACCCGGTTGCTTTCTGGAGTAATTTTAAGTCCTTTTTTTAACCGAGGGAGCCCCGTTTTACTGGTTTTTTGCATTGGAACTGCCATGTGCACAATCTTTTTTTGTAGTTGTGGCATTTCGGTGACCTGACAGATGTAAACAGTCTGACTTTGATAATAAATGCCAGTTCAGTATTTCAGTCGCAGCATCCTTTACTCTGCTTAAAATCCCTGCCAGCTCAGCTAGGTAAACTCCAGTTTGTCAGAAAAAATTCAGTGTTCCTCTTGATTTCTGACAGAATCTCTTTAAGATGTATCCAAGGCTACAGGATCTTCCCTCTTCTCTATGCACCTAATCCATGGGCAGTCCCAGCTCAAGGATTTTCTCTAGTGGCAATGTTGGTTTAAAAATAATCTCCCCTGCATGGTGTTGGTGCCAGTAGAAAAGTTTGAACTGAAAATGGGGTTAAAAACCTCTTTATTCTCTTCTGGAGCAGAGGCAGGTAAGGGGCAAACACCTGCTGCAGGTGCGAGGGGGGGCGAATTCCCCTTTTGCTGCAGGAAACGCTTTTAGCACAAATGGATCGGGTGTGGGGCATGGAGGGGCACTGGGGTGTGGGGGTCCCTGTGGGGCAGGGGAGGGTCGGGGACAGCCTCGAATGGGGCTGGGGAGGATCCGGGACAGCCCCGGTGGGTCCGGAGCAGCACCGGTGGGACAGAGGAGGATCCAGGACAGCCTCGAATGGGCCCGGGGAGGATCGGGGTCAGCCCCGGTACGGCTGTGGAGGATACGGGACAGCCCCAGTGGGTCCGGAGCGGCCCCGGTAGAGCCGGGGAGGGTCGGGGTCGGCCCCGGTGGGTCCGGAGCAGCCCCGGGGCCCCCTCCCGGTCCCGCCGTTCGCGGCCACGTGGCGCGGGCGGCGCGCGGCAGTGACGTCACGGCGCGGCGGCGGCGCGCGGAGGTCACGGGGCGCGCGGGGCGATGGCGGCGGCCGGAGGGTGCCGGGTGAGCGCGGGGGCACCGGCCGGGAGCGGGCGGGACGGGAGCCCCGGGGCCTGCCCGGCCCGGCGGGCACAGCGAGCGGCGCGGCGGGGCCGGCCCGGAGCCGCCGATCCCTCCCCGCCCGCCGGGCCCCGGTGCTGGCGGCTCCCGGTGCGGACACCCCGGCCGGGGGGGCTCCGGTTCCGCGCTCGGTGCTCCCGGCGGGACGGAGCCTCCAGCGGGGCCGTGACCCCGGGGTTGGAGGGGTCGAGGCTCCTGCAGCCCAACCATTCCTGGCTCCCGCGGTTCCCGAGCCCGGAGCAGCTCCCGGGGCCTCTCCCGGGGCTCCATGGGGGCGGTTTTACCGTGAGCTGCCCCCGGAGCTCACTGGCCGGGATGAGCCCGGTGTGCCCGGAGCCTCGGGGTCTCTGCTCCGTTCGTTCCTCTGCTCGGGATCTCTGTCCCGGTCCGCCGCTCCCGCCCCCGGTGCTGCTCGGGAGAGAGCTCAGATTTTTATGGGATTTCCGTGGTTCTGCCCTGAGCTCAGCCCTGACCCCTTCCAGAGCTGGATCTGCGGGTTTGACCTCGGCAAGGGCAGCACAACCATCCTGGGGTTGTTCTGGGACCCTCCAGAGCTGAGCAAAGCTGTGTTTGGAGGAGTTTTCCCATAAAAACCCCTCAGTGCTTCTCACATTTCACCTCCAGGTGGATTTGTGCGTGGCTGCTCTCCCAAATCCGCCTGCTGGGAGCTCTGGGCGCTCCCCTGAGCTCCCTCTGTGCTGTTTTCCTTGCAGAAATGTCTCCTCAGCGGGCCCTGGCTGCTCTCCCGGCGTTATCCCATCCCTGCCTTCCCCAGGAGCGCCCTGGTCAGGATCTGCAGCCCTGCCCTGGGCACCCCCCAGGTTGGTCCCCCCTGAATTTATTCCATTTCCACCCCAGGGTGAGTTCCCAGCAGAGTCCTCACTTGGATGTGGCTCTGGGAAGTGCCAGTTCCAGGCTGGGAATCTCCATTTTTTAAATGGAACTCAGGGAATTTTTGGGTCCAGTTCCAGGCTGGATATTTCCACTTTTTAAATGGAACTAAGGGAATTTTCGGGTCCAGTTCCAAGCTGGGAATCTCCACTTTTTAAATTGAACTAAGGGAATTTGTGGGGTGAGTTCCAAGCTGAGACTCTCCACTTTTTAAATGGAACTAAGGGAATTTTTGGGTCCAGTTCCAGGCTGGGAATCTCCACTTTTTAAATGGAACTAAGGAAATTTTTGGGGATAGTTCCAAGCTGGGAATCTCCACTTTTTAAATTGAACTAAGGAAATTTTTGGGGTGAGTTCCAAGCTGGGAATTTCCACTTTCTAAATGGAACTCGAGGAATTTTTGGGGCTGCTTCCAGGCTGGGAATCTCCACTTTTTAAATGGAACTAAGGGAATTTTTGGGTCCATTTCTAGGCTGGATATTTCCACTTTTTAAATGGAACTAAAGGAATTTTTGGGGCAGTTGAGGTTGGACAGGGCCTGGAGCACCCTGGGGTACTGGGAGGTGTCCCTGCCATGCTGGGTGGGATTTAAGGTCCTTTCAACCCAATCCATGCTGAGATTCCATGAAATCCACTGGCCATGTGGCTCTTTGAAGGATCAGCTGCTGCTTTTCCAGGCATCTCCATGTTTCCACACATTCTAAAAGTGATCCAGTGATCCTCAAGCGCAAAACTTGTGATTTTTGGGTCCTGTCGGCTCTAATTCCATTGGATTCTCCAACATGGAATGGTTTTCTCCAGTCCAGATGCTACTCCTCGGGAGGAAGGAAGGGATTCATCTCAGGTTTTGTGGAGAACATCAAACAGGAGTTAGCCAAAAACAAAGAGATGAAGGAAAGCATCAAAAAATTCCGAGACGAAGCAAAAAAGCTGGAGGAGTCGGATGCTCTGAGGGAAGCCAGGAGGAAATATGTGAGTGTTTGGGGTTTCCCTGGTTTGTTCCTTGGGTTGTTCCCTGGTTTATTGAGCTTTTACTGCTCTGAGTGAGCGTTAAATCCACAGCTGAGCTGTTCTGCCTGGCTGGGAGCACTCAGTGTTAAATGGATGCCTCAGAATGTTTATTTGTTGGAATGTTTTGGGGTTTTTTATTCTAGTGGAAAGTCCTTCCCAGCAGACACTTGGCTGCGTTTCTGAGCAGATCAAATAATGAGGCATTAAATTGAGCATCGAATGTTTCCTTTGCATTGTTCAGAGAGCTCTGAACATCATCATTTGCAAAGCTGCTGCTGACTCAGGCCATGAACTCCTGAAATGTTCCCTTTTCTGCCCTCAATTCCAGCCTTAATGGATTGTGCTCCATCCAAGCTGGGTTTGAGTAGTTTCTGTCTCTTGATTAATGTTCTCTTCCCCCAGAAAACCATTGAATCTGAAACAGTGAAGACCTCAGAAGTGATTAAAAAGAAACTTGGAGAAATAACAGGGACGGTTAAAGAGGTAAAAGGATTTTTCCTCAGGGCAGCTCTGCTCAAGTTGGGTTTTGGGGACGGCTGGAATTGTCATTGCTGGGGGCAGGTGCTGCTGCTCCTGGAGCTTTTAAAACCAGAGGCATTCACAAAATAATGGATTGGGTGTGATCTGAGGAGACCCAGCCAGGGATTCCTCTGGGATTTGGGGGGATGGAGAAGAGGGAGACCCCACCTGCAGCCTTGGGAGCACAAAATATGGATGGAGAGAATCCAGAGGAGCCCCCAGGGCTGGAGCCAGGCTGGGAGAGCTGGGAGTGCTCAGGGAGAGCTCAGAGCCTTTCCAGGGGTAAAGGAGCTGCAGGAGGGTTGGAGAAGGGATGGGGCCGAGGTCTGGAGCTGCAATGACTTTTCCCTTCTCCCTTTTCCCTTCTCCCTTTTCCCTTCTCCCTTCTCCCTTCTCCCTTCTCCCTTTTCCCTTCTCCCTTTTCCCTTCTCCCTTTTCCCTTCTCCCTTTTCCCTTCTCCCTTCTCCCTTCTCCCTTTTCCCTTCTCCCTTTTCCCTTCTCCCTTTTCCCTTCTCCCTTTTTCTCCCTTTTCCTTTGCAGAGTTTGGACGAGGTCAGCAAGAGCGACCTGGGCAGGAAGATCAAGGAGGGGGTGGAAGAAGCTGCCAAAACAGCCAAACAATCTGCAGAGTCTGTGACCAGGGGAGGGGAGAAGCTGGGCAGGACTGCAGCCTTCAAAGCCATCTCCCAGGTACTGCTGCTGCTCCCTGGGCTCCCAGGGCACCCAGAACCTCGGGAGAGCATTTTTGGGGAGGTTTGGGGTGAAATCTGAAATCCTGCAGGTGGGAAATCTGAAATCCTTCAGGGGTGAAATCCTTCAAGGGTGAAATCTGAAATCCTACAAGGGTGAAATCCTGCAGGTGGGAAATCTGAAATCTTGCAGGGGTGAAATCTGAAATCCTGCAGGTCTGAAATCTGAAATCTGAAATCCTGCAGGGTTGAAACCTGCAAGGGTGAAATCTGAAATTCTGCAAGGGTGAAATCTGAAATTGTGCAGGTCTGAAATCTGAAATCTGAAATCCTGCAGGTCTGAAATCTGAAATCCTGCAAGGGTGAAATCTGAAATTCTGCAGGTCTGAAATCCCGCAGGTCTGAAATCTGAAATCCTGCAGGGGTGAAATCTGAAATCCTGCAGGTCTGAAATCCCGCAGGTCTGAAATCACACCTCCCCTGGCAGGGCTGAGCTCCCTGCATGCAGGGTTGGAAAATGTCCCTCTCTAGAGGGATTTGAACTTCCTCAAACCCCTCTTTTTGCAGGAAACACGGAAAATATCCAATGTTTTATTACCAGGCTGTTGCTGCCCCACCCCTGCCCCACCCAGGTCCCAAAGCATCACAGGATGGGGATTTTGAGCTTCTGGGAGAGCACTAAACCCATCCTAACGGGGCTGTTTTCCTTGCAGGGAGTGGAAACTGTGAAGAAGGAAATAGATGAGAGTGTTTTGGGGCAGACTGGTCCCTACCGGCGCCCGGAGCGGCTGCGGAAGCGCACGGAATATTCCGGAGAGAGGATCAAAGAGCAGCGAGTGTTTGAAGCCAATGAGTACGTGTGGGGTCCTCTGGGGGGGATGTTTCTGTGTGTAATTTGATGGGAAAGGTAAAAAAATAGGTCAGGGATTAAAATCCAGGAGCTGTGGGGAGCAGCTGGGTCTCCAGCACGTTCCCAGCAGGAGTGGGTGATCCTGGATCTTCCTGGGGTAAAACTGGAAATTTCAAATTCTGAAGGTGAAATTTGATGTTCTGAGGTGAAATCCTGAGCTGGGCATTGTTCTGTGTTCAGTTTTAACTTGCAGCTGGGTGATGCTGGCAGGACTAAGGCTGAGCTCCTTTTTTCTGGGCTGCTTTGCTCCTCTGGGCTGAGTTTTATTTGTCTGCTGCTTTATTTATCTGGAGTTTTGTTTATCTAATGTTTTATTTATCTGGGTTTTTATTTGCCTGATGTTTCATTTATCTGATGGATCATTTATGGGGCTATCATTTATGGGGCTGCAATTTATTGTATAATTGATGGGGCCATCATTTGTCTTGTAATTGAGCTCATCATTTCTGTGCTGTCTCAGCCTCAGTGATGCCAACTGCTGCAGGGATATTCCTCAGGGTGTTGTCTGTGTTTGTTGCGAGTTGATTTTTCCCAAATATCCACATTTTATCCCTGTTTTCTGCCCTCTCTAGGGAAGCCATGGGCATGGTGCTGCATAAAGACTCCAAGTGGTACCAGCAGTGGAAAGATTTCAAGGACAATAATGTGGTTTTTAACAGTGAGTGGAGCACATTTCCTGCCCAGCCCTGCTCCCATCTGGGCCTCCAGCCCCAGCAAATCCCAAATTCCCACTTTTCTCTGTGCGCTTGGAGCCTGAAACAAGGAAAATCCTGAAAAATTGAATGAGTTTCACACAACTTCCAAATTGGTGAAAGGTTTTAAAAAAAATTTTTAAAATCCTGGGATCTTTCTGTCATGTAAAGCTGACCTTTGATATCATCTGTGGCTTTTTCTGCAAATGCCCTGAAAATAATCCCAGAATTTAGGTTGGAAAAGCCCTCCAGGACCTTTGAGTCCAACCTGTCCCTGATCCCCACCTTGTCACCCCCAGTGCCACCTCCAGGGATGGAAACAGCACTGCTCAAAGTGAGCCTGATCCTGAGTCTGCTCATTGCATTGGATAAATCCCATTCCCAGAGGGGTTAAATCTGAGTGTTAGCAGAGGAGGAGTTGCTGAGAGATCAGAACATTGCAGGAAAATGGGGAGGAAAACAGGGAGGGATATGGGGAAGAAAATGGGGAGAAAACAGAAAAATGGGGGGAATAAAATGGAGAGAAAACAGGGAGAAAAATGGAGAGCAAGCCTGGTGCTGGACAAAGGGGTGGAGGAGAGGCTGGGCCCTGCTGGGAGGGCTCTGAGCTCTCTGTTCCCTGCAGGGTTCTTCGAGATGAAGATGAAGTACGACGAGAGCGACAACGCCTTCATCCGAGCGTCGCGCGCCGTCACCGACCGCGTCACCGACCTCATAGGTACAGGGACAGGGACACCTGGGCTGCTCATGGGGACAGGGACAGCCTTGGGCTGCTCATGGGGACAGGGACAGGGACAGCCTTGGGCTGCTCATGGGGACAGGGACAGGGACAGGGACAGCCTTGGGCTGCTCATGGGGACAGGGACAGGGACAGCCTTGGGCTGCTCATGGGGACAGGGACAGGGACAGGGACAGCCTTGGGCTGCTCATGGGGACAGGGACAGGAACATCACCCTGGGCTGCTCATGGGGACAGGGACACCTGAACTTCTCATGGGGACAGGGACGGGGACAGCCTTGAGCTGCTCATGGGGACAGGGACAGGGACAGCCTTGGGCTGCTCATGGGGACAGGGACACCCCAGGGACACCCCTGAGCTGCTCATGGGGACAGGGACAGGGACATCTGAGCTGCTCATGGGGACAGGGACACCCCAGGGACACCCCTGGGCTGCTCATGGGGACAGGGACATCACCCTGGGCTGCTCATGGGGACAGGGACAGGAACATCACCCTGGGCTGCTCATGGGGACAGGGACAGCCTTGGGCTGCTCATGGGGACAGGGACACCCCAGGGACACCCCTGAGCTGCTCATGGGTACGGGGACATCACCCTGGGCTGCTCATGGGGACAGGGACAGGGACACCTGAGCTGCTCATGGGGACAGGGACATCACCCTGGGCTGCTCATGGGGACAGGGACAGGAACATCACCCTGGGCTGCTCATGGGGACAGGGACAGCCTTGGGCTGCTCATGGGGACAGGGACACCCCAGGGACACCCCTGAGCTGCTCATGGGGACAGGGACACCTGAGCTGCTCCTGCAGCTGGGGCTGCAGCCCTGGGCACATCCCAGAGCTCTGCAGCACTTCCAGGGTCACCGTGTGGGTGAGGGATGGGAGGACAATCCTTGGGATCAACCTCAGCTTCAGCTTCAAGGCTGGAGTCGTTCCCTGGGTGGCTTTTCCTCCCTCTGTCTGTCTGTCCCAGAGCTCTGTCCCTGTGTCCTGGTGGCTTTTCCTCCCTGTCTGTCCCTATTCCCTGGTGGCTTTTCCTCCCTCTGTCTGTCTGTCCCAGAGCTGTGTCCCTGTGTCCAGGTGTTTCTCCCCCCTCTGTCTGTCTGTCCCAGGGCTGTGTCCCTGTGTCCTGGTGGCTTTTCCTCCCTGTCTGTCCCTGTGTCCAGCTGTTTTTCCCCCCTCTGTCTGTCCCAGAGCTCTGTCTCTGTGTCCTGGTGGCTTTTCCCCCCCTCCGCTCTGTCTGTCGCAGGGCTGTGTCCCTGTGTCCCTGTGCTGGTGGCAGTGCCAGCACCCACCGGGCTGTTTTTGCAGGGGGATTGTTCTCCAAGACCGAGATGTCCGAGGTGCTGACGGAGATCCTCAGGGTGGATCCCTCCTTTGACAAGGATCGCTTCCTGAAGCAGTGTGAGCGGGACATCATCCCCAACGTCCTGGAGGTGCTCGGCAGCTGCTGCCCCTTCATTTCCCCCTCGTTACCCCATGGAAAATGGTTTTTTTTCTTTACTTTTGCACTGCTAAAATCACAAGTTGGGTCAGGATTTGCTTCTCCAGCTTTGCACAGGAAAGGTCTTTGCACAGACCTTGGGAAAGGAATCACATCCCACATTTAGGCTGAAACTATGGGGTAATAAACGTATAAATAAAGGGGTAATAAATGTATAAATAAATACATAAATATTATAAATATATAGATAATTTATATTATAAATTTATGTTATAAATCTATAGATCATTTATATTATAAGTATATGAAAATACATAAAGGTAGGTTGAAACCATGGGGTGATAAATGTATAAATAAATACATAAATATTATAAATATGTAGATAATTTATATTATAAATTTATATTATAAATCTATAGATCATTCATATTATAAGTATATGAAAATACATAAAGGTAGGTTGAAACCATGGGATAATAAATATATAAATATTATAAATATATAGATAATTTGTATTATAAATATATCAATGTATGCTATTAAAATATATTAAAATAAAAACCCATGGAAAATGGGTTTTTATTTTTACTTTGCACTGCTAAAATCACAAGTTGGGTCAGGATTTGCTTCTCCAGCTTTGCACAGGAAAGGTCTTTGCACAGACCTTGGGAAAGGAATCACATCCCACATTTAGGCTGAAACTATGGGGTAATAAACGTATAAATAAAGGGGTAACAAATGTATAAATAAATACATAAATATTATAAATAAATAGATAATTTATATTATAAATTTATATTATAAATCTATAGATCATTTATATTATAAGTATATGAAAATACATAAAGGTAGGTTGAAACCATGGGGTGATAAATGTATAAATAAATACATAAATATTATAAATATGTAGATAATTTATATTATAAATTTATATTATAAATCTATAGATCATTTATATTATAAGTATATGAAAATACATAAAGGTAGGTTGAAACCATGGGGTGATAAATGTATAAATATTATAAATATATAGATAATTTGTACTATAAATATATCAATGTATGCTATTAAAATATATTAAAATAAAAACCCATGGAAAATGGGTTTTTATTTTTACTTTGCATTGCTGAAATCAAAAGTCGGGTCAGGATTTGCTTCTCCAGCTTTGCACAGGAAAGGTCTTTGCACAGACCTTGGGAAAGGAATCAGATCCCACATTTAGGTTGAAACCATGGGATAATAAATGTATAAATAAATACATAAATATTATAAATATAGAGATAATTTATATTATAAATGTATAAAAATATATATAAAGGTAGGTTGAAAGCATGGGATAATAAATGTATAAATAAATGCATAAATATTATAAATATGTAGATAATTTATATTATAAATATATAAAAAATACATAAAGGTAGGTTGAAACCATGGGATAATAAATGTATAAACAAATACATAAATATTATAAATATATAGATAATTTATATTATAAATATATGAAAAATATATATAAAGGTAGGTTGAAACCATGGGATAATAAATGTATAAATAAATACATAAATATTATAAATATATAGATAATTTATATTATAAATATATAAAAAATACATAAAGGTAGGTTGAAACCATGGGATAATAAATATATAAATATGATAAATATATATAAAATATTGTTATAACTATATAAACATATGCTATTAAATATATTATAAATATATATGATTTATACATTTAAATATAAATATAAATTATATAGAAATATTTATATGGAGATATATGTAGCTTATATTATAAATATACAAAATATATATGCTATTAAAATATATATTATAAATATACACAGTTTATATATTTATATTTAAATAGAAATATAATTTTTTAAATATAAATATATAAAGAATTATTTTTTGGCCTGGAAAACAGCAAATGAGGTGGGATAGATGGAAATGGTTGAGCAAATGGTGATAGCAGAGGGATAAGGGAAGGAATTTGGGATTTGCTCCTGGGTTCTGATCTGGATTTGGGAAGAGCAGCAGGTTGAGACCAGTGGTTCAGTGGTCATGGAAGTGTCAGGAATTTGAGATTTTTAGGGATTCAGAGTGATGGGAGATGTGACTGTAAATGGGTGTGGGTCCCTGTCCCTGCAGCAGGAAAGACAAAGGGAATTTGGGATTTGAAGTAGAGCAGGAATTGTTCTGAATTTGGGATTTGAAATAGAGCAGGAATTGTTCTGAATTTGAGATTTGAAGTAGAGCAGGGATTGTTCTGAATTTGGGATTTGAAATACAGCAGGAATTGTTCTGAATTTGGGATTTGAAATACAGCAGGAATTGTTCTGAATTTGGGATTTGAAATACAGCAGGAATTGTTCTGAATTTGGGATTTGAAATACAGCAGGAATTGTTCTGAATTTGGGATTTGAAGTAGAGCAGGAATTGTTCTGAATTTGGGATTTGAAATTGAGCAGGAATTGTTCTGAATTTGGGATTTGAAATGGAGCAGGAATTGTTCTGAATTTGGGATTTGAAACTGAGCAGGAATTGTTCTGAATTTGGGATTTGAAATGGAGCAGGGATTGTTCAGAATTTGGGATTTGGAATAGAGCAGGAATTGTTCTGAATTTGGGATTTGAAATACAGCAGGGATTGTTCTGAATTTGGGGTTTGGAATAGAGCAGGAATTGTTCTGAATTTGGGATTTGAAACTGAGCAGGAATTGTTCTGAATTTGGGATTTGGAATAGAGCAGGAATTGTTCAGAGGGACTCAGGAGGGACTGGAAAAGTGGGATTTGAGGAGCCAAACCTGGGATTGTTCTGTTCCTTCTGTGCCCAGGGTTTTGCAGTGTGGGAAATTGCAGCTCTGCTCCCGTTTGATCCCAGGATTTGTGAGCACTGGGAGCTCTGCTGGCTCCCTGGCAGCTTGAGCAGGAAGATTTAATGGGAAGGTTCAGCTGGAAGCTTTAAGAGAGTTTAATTATCCCAAGGTTTATGTCCCTTGGCCTCAGCTCCTGTGTTTTTATAGAAATCCTTTTTGCTGTTCCCCTTTTGCAGCTCCAGTTTCCCCCCAGAGTCCCACAAAACGTGGGATTTAAGGCTGGAAGGGCTGATTGGTCCCACTTTGATATAGGAGGAGCTTTAAAATGTTCTGTTTGATTTCCTTTGATATAGGAGGAGCTTTAAAATGTTTCTTTCTTTAAAATGTTCTCTCTGATTTCCTCCTCAGGCTCTGATCTCGGGGGAGCTCGACATCCTCAAGGACTGGTGCTATGAGGCCGTGAGTGAAGCTCCCAAAAACCTCCCCAAAACTTGAGATTCTCCCTTGAAAATGAGATTCTTTTATTCTTTTGAGGGCTTGGAATTCAGGGGGTAACTTCATTCCTCCAGAATTATTATGCTGTAAAATCCAAAGTAATTCTTCTCTTCCAAATCCGAAATTAATCCAAGAACTCAATTTCTCCAAGTGCTGTTCCCCACCACCAGAGGGCTGGGAGAGCCAATTTTTTTTTCAATTTAATAAATCCTGATCAGCTTCTTTTTTTTTTTTTTTTTAATATAACAGTAATCCAGTCTGAATGCAAAAAATCTTCCCTGCTTCCAGCAACCTTGGGAATGACACCTTGGATTGCTCTGGAGGGAAGCAGCAAAAATTTTGTGGATTTTGTGAAGCCAAAATCCAAAATCAAACATTCCCAGGGCAGCTGGAATTGGAAATGAAGCTCCAAAGTCCAGAGAAATCAGTCAGATGAGCCGGGGAGGAAATGGGAATCTTATCCCTGAGAACCTGGGGGATAAAATCTCTTAATGGATCCCGTGGGGGCTGAGATGGTGATTCTGGTCACTGAACTCCCTCATTTTCCCTGTTTTTTCCCAGTTTTTTTCCCCAGTTTTTTCCCCAGTTTTTTCCCCAGTTTTTTCCCCAGTTTTTTCCCCAGGTTTTTCCCCCTGTTTTCCCCCTGTTTCCCCCCTGTCTTTCCCCCTGTTTTCCCCTGCTTTTCCCTGTTCTTTGCCTGCTTTTCCTTTATTTTCCCAGTTTTTCTTTCTTTTCCCTGTTCCTGCTGTTCAGTCCAGTTCTGAGTCCCTCAGCTCTCAGCTGCTCTCAGGTCCTCACATTCTTCCCAGTAAAAATGGGATTTTTGTGCGTCCCAAAGCATTTCCTGCAGTTCTTTAATCCCTTCCTTCACCACATTTACAAACAAAAGTGAATTTTTCTCGTGGGGTTTTTTTTTCTTCTCTCCAAGCAAAAAGTCCCTTTTTTTTTTTTTTTTTTTTTCTTTGATGGTGACAGAACAATCCCAAACAATTCCCAACCCCAGTTTGTTCATCCCTTTAGACCTACAGCCAGCTGGCCCATCCCATCCAGCAGGCCAAGGCCCTGGGGCTGCAGTTCCACTCCAGGATCCTGGACATCGACAACATCGACGTGAGTTCCCTGCAAAGTTCTTCCTCTGGGGGAAAAAATCCAACTCAGGGGATCAGGAGGGGCTTTTTAGGATCAGGGGGATTGGGAAGAAAACCCTCCAGGATCATCCAGCCCAACCTTCTTTGCTCTGAGTGCTGGGTTTGAGCTCTGGGGTTTGGGATTTCTGCTCCCAGAGGGGAATCCCAGTGTTGGAAAGGGAAATCCCAGTGCTGGAAGGGAAATCCCAGTGCTGGAAGGGAAATCCCAGTGTTGGAAAGGGAAATCCCAGTGCTGGAAAGGAAATCCCAGTGTTGGAAAGGGAAATCCCAGTGCTGGAAAGGAAATCCCAGTGTTGGAAAGGGAAATCCCAGTGCTGGAAAGGAATTCCAATTGCTGGAAGGGAAATCCCAGTGTTGGAAGGGAAATCCCAGTGTTGGAAGGGAAATCCCAGTGCTAGAAGGGAAATCCCAGTGCTGGAAGGGAAATCCTATTGCTGGAAGAGAAAATTCCATTTCTGGAAGGGAAATCCCAGTGCTAGAAGGGAATTCCCATTGCTGGAAGGAAAATCCCAGTGCTGGAAGGGAAATCCCAGTGCTGGAAGGAAAATCCCAGTGCTGGAAGGAAAATCCCAGTGCTGGAAGGGAAATCCCATTACTGGAAGGAAAATCCCATTACTGGAAGGAAAATCCCAGTGTTGGAAGGGAAATCCCATTGCTGGAAGGGAAATCCCAGATATCCAAGATACCTGAAATATCTTGGAAGTTGAGTTAGGCGTGGGTTCGGGTGGAAAATTGTTTTTTATTGGATGGCTTGAGCTCCAGTGTGGATTGGGATCAGGGAGCTCATTCCCTGGAATGTGGCAGAGCTGTTGAGATTCCCTCAGGGAGCAGGAAAATCACCCTAAAAATAAATTTATTCCTTTGTGACACAGCCCAGCCCTGTCCTGCTGCTGCTTCCTTTATTAGGGATAAAACAGAATGTTTGGGAACATTTCAAAAGAGGAAAATCCTGCTGTCCTCCGTGCCTGTGGCTCCTTTTGGGGCAGCACAGGCAGGAATTCCTGAGCTGAAGAGCAGCATCCCAAAAAAAGGGATGCAAAGAGATTGCCCACAATGGGCAGAAAGAGAATTTAAAAAGGAAAAAAGCTGAATTTTCACTCCTCTTGCATTCCAGTGAATAAAGTGTTTAAATATTTAATGAGACAGCCTGGGAATAGAGGGGAAAAAATCCTGGCAAACAAAAGTTCCCACCTTGAAGTGTTTCTGGTACAGTTTTTGTCTGGTTCAGGACAACTTCCTGGCAAAAACGGATTTAAAAAAGGAGAAAAGCTCTGTTTGATCCTTGTGGGTCCCTTCCAGCTCAGGATGTTCTGGTTCCAAACATTTCCTTCAGAAAATTCCGTTTTTTTGGAGAGCAGGGTGTCTTTGATTTCGCTTTCTAATTGGAGCTAACAGAGCAGAGCTCGTTCCCATTTCCCAGATTTATGGACTTGGGGAAATAATGAAAAAACCCACAACAGTCTGGGGAAAGTTTTGGGTTCCCAAGGTTTCACTTGGGATTTTTTTTTGGGGAACAGCTTTTCCATCGTATCAGAATGATGGAGTTGATGTGGTTGAGCAGCCAAGGGGAAATGGGGGTGTGGGAGATCTTCCCTGGGCCTGCAGGAGTGGGGTGATGTCCATGTATGGGGTTATGGGGTGATGTCTGTGGGGTTGTGGGGTGATGTCCATGGGGTGATGTCCATGGGGTGATCTCTATGGGGTTGTGGGGTGATGTCCATGGGGTGATGTCCATCGGGTTATGGGGTGATGTCCATCAAGTTGTGGGGTGGTGTCCATGGGGTTTATGGGATGATGTCCGTGGTGTTATGGGGTTATGTCCATGGGGGTTATGGGGTGTTGTCTGTGGGGTTCATGGGGTAATATCCATGGGGTTTATGGGGTGATGTCCATGGAGTTATGGGGTGATGTCCATGGGGTTTTGGGGTGATGTCCCTGGGGTGATGTCCATGGGTTTATGGGGTAATCTCTGTCCATGGGGTTATGGAGTGATGTCCATGGGGGTTATGGGGTGATCTCTGTTGGGTTATGGGGTGATGTCCATGGGGTTGTAGGATGATGTCCATGGGGTTATGGGGTGATCTCTGTGGGATTATGGGGTGATGTCCATGGGCTGATGTCCATGGGTTTATGGGCTGATGTCCATGTTGTTCATGGAATGATGTCCGTGGTGTTGTGGGCTGATGTCCATGGGTTTATGGGGTGATGCCCATGAGGTTTATGGGGTGATGTCCATGGGGGTTGTGGGCTGATGTCCATGGGGTTCTGTCCCTACAGCTGGCCATGGGGAAGATGATGGAGCAGGGGCCCGTGCTGATCATCACCTTCCAGGCCCAGGTGGTGATGGTGATCAAGAACCACCTGGGGGAGGTGGTGGAAGGGGACCCGGTGAGTGGGGACAGGTTTGGGGTCTGGGACAGGTTTGGGGTTTGGGATTTATTTGGGGTTTGAGACATGTTTGGGGTCTGGGACACGTTAGGGATCTGAGACGGGTTTGGGGTCTGGGTCACATTTGGGGTCTGGCCACGTTTGGGGTCTCCCACTGCATTCCAGCTCCATCCCATTCCCAGCTAACCCTGCTGGGTTTCCCTCCCCTTTTCCTTTCCCTGGCAGGGCAGAGCCCTCTGGCAAGCAGGGCGAGAGCAGGGCTGAGTCACTGCATCAAAAAAACCCCAAATCCACATTTTTAGCTCCCCACACTCCCACCAAGAATGCAGGAATTTAATTCCATGAAAATCTCCCAGGGAACTTTGCCTGGAGCTGTGTGGGGTTTTTGGGGAGCAGGGAATGATTTGGGAGACAAATCCCTGGCACCTCTGGGGTACCCTGGGTTGCCCTTGGGAATTTTCCCTTCTGGTTCCAGGCTCAGCCTGGCCCATGGAATTGCCTGAATAAATGTTTCTCTCTCCAGGAGGAAAAATAAAATAAAATAAAATAAAATAAAATAAAATAAAATAAAATAAAATAAAATAAAATAGTTATTATTAATATATAATGAATATAATATGTAATTATTATATATTATCTGTAATTTATATTATATTGTGTTATATTCTATGATATTGTATATAATAGAAATTATTATTGATGAATATATTAAAATATAATATAATATATATTATATTATATTACATTACATTACATTATATTTATTATATTATATTACTATTATTATATTTCTCTCTGCAGGCAGCTCATTTTCCCTTGTAATTAATACAGGCTTTTAACAAATATTGGCTTTTGCAGCCCTGGCCTTTGGTCCAGGCTGGAAAAATGGGATTCATTTGAATGCTGGGGCCCATCTGGGCTGATTCACAAGCAGGGCAGAATCAGCTGATCCAGAGATTCCCTGCATTAAACTCCTGCATTCCTGGGAGATAAATATTGATGGGATAATTATTGAACAGGATATCAAAGTCTGTTTGCTGTCAGATCCCTCCAGGGCTGCAATAAATCAGGGAGAGGAATTGAAATTCTCCAGTGGAGCCCAAAGCTCAGCTTTAATCAGGAGCCTGGGCTTGGGTGGAGCTGCTGGAATATTGAACACGGGGAGGTTTGGGGAGAGGGGAGCCTCAAATCCCCAGAGTCTGGGGGTGGAAGGAGCTGGGAGGGTTGGAGTTTGAATTTTGGGGGTGGAAGGAGCTGGAAGGATTTGAATTGAGTTTTGGGGTTGGAAGGAGCTGGAAATATTTGAGTTGAGTTTGAGTTTTGGAGCTGGAAGGAGATGGATCGATGTGAGTTTTGGGGCTGGGATGATTGGAGTTTTGGAAGGAGCTGGGAGGATTTGAGTTTGAGTTTTGGGGCTGGAAGGAGATGGAAGGATTGGAGTTTTGGGGCTGGAAGGAGCTGGGAGGGTTTGAGTTTTGAAGGACGGAAGGATTTGAGTTTGAGTTTTGGGGTTGGAAGGAGCTGGAAGGATGTGAGTTTTGGGGGCCGGAAGGATTGGAGTTTTGGGGTTGGAAGGATGTGAGTTTTGGGGCTGGAAGGATGTGAGTTTTGGGGCTGGAAGGATGTGAGTTTTGGGGGCTGAAAGGATGTGAGTTTTGGGGATGGAAGGATGTGAGTTTTGGGGTTGGAAGGATGTGAATTTTGGGGTTGGAAGGATTTGAGTTTGGGGGCTGAAAGGATGTGAATTTTGGGGCTGGAAGGATGTGAATTTTGGGGTTGGAAGGATTTGAGTTTTGGGGCTGGAAGGATTTGAGTTTTGGGGCTGAAAGGATGTGAATTTTGGGGCTGAAAGGATTTGAGTTTTGGGGCTGGAAGGATTTGAGTTTTGGGGTTGGAAGGATTTGAGTTGAGTTTGAGTTTTGGGGCTGGAAGGAGCTGGAAGGATTGGAATTTTGGGGCTGGAAGGATTTGAGTTTTGCGTCTGGAAGGAGCTGGAAGGATTTGAATTCAGTTTGAGTTTTGGGGCTGGGAGGATGTGAGTTCTGGGGCTGGAAGGAACTGGAAGGATTGGAGTTTTGGGGCTGGAAGGAGCTGTCAGGTTTTGAGTTGAGCTTTGGGGCTGTCAGGAGCTGTCAGGTGCCCTGCTGGCAGCCTGGCCCTGCCCCTCAGAGCAGCTCTCTCCTCTCTGTGTCTCTGTCCAGGACAAGGTGCTGAGGATGCTCTACGTGTGGGCCCTGTGCCGGGACCAGGACGAGCTGAACCCCTACATGGCCTGGAGGCTGCTGGACATTTCCTCCTCCAGCACAGAGCAGGTGCTCTGAGCAGGGCTGGGCTCAGGGCTGGGCCCTTCCCACCCTCTGCCAAGCTGCTCCAGCCTGGAACCCCCACGGGGAGCTGGGGGATTTGGGATTCGAGCTCCTGATTATCCCAATCCCCGAGGAATGGGAATCCCTGCTCGGGGACACCTGGGACGAGCAGCTGCTGCTTCATCCTCGTGCCTCAGAGGCTCCTGGGCAGCTGGGGACCCCCAGAGCTGTCATTCCCACCTGCTGGCACCCTTGGAGATCCCTGGAAGGGCCTTGGAGGGGGCTCCTGGCTGCCAACGGCCTGGCCAGGCTCCGGCCTCGCGTCCCTGCCGTGTCTTGCACTTTCCCAAACCAAATACAACCAGGACTTTGCACACGGAGGTGTTGGATCCTCAGGTTGGTGGTGGGGTGGGGCTGATAGCTGAATATCCAGGGGGGAGATTTGATTGTCCACAGCTTGGAAGGGGGAAATGTTGTTGGTTCTGGTCACAAAGAGCCACGGCTGCATCCCTTGGGGTGGTGGGGAGGGTGTGGGGCAGGAGGGGAAGGGCAGGGGGAGTGTCTGAGGAGTGGGAACGCTGAATTTTCCTGTCCCATCCTGATTTTCCTGTCCCATCCTGTCTCATTGTGCTCCTTGTTCACCTCCCTGGCCTCGTCTGCTCCTCATCCCTGCACAGAGCCCAGGTCCAGGAGCACAAACTTCCCCAGTTTGCTGGGGTGAAATCCCAAACTAAAAAATGGGATTAAAAATCCCAAATCATGGGAAAAAAAATCCCCAAATTCAGATTCCAGTGGCAGCATTTTGGGACCCTCACTTTAAGCTTCTTTCAGGGGGAATGGCTGAGGGGGAGCAGAAATTGGAGGGGTTTGGGAGCTGAGGAACCCCCTGCCCGTGGAAAGGGAGATGGGGAGAAGGTTTGGAGAGGAAATCCAAGGATTGCTGTGGTGCTGAGGGTGAGGCAGGCCAGCTCTGCCCTGCCAGAGTGATTAAAGAGAATAATTCCAGTTCCTCTTCTGTCAATGTCTGCAGCTTTGAACGCCCCTGGGATGGGGCAGCCCCAGCAGCAGAGGCTGCCCCAGCCCTTGGAGCACCCCCAGGGTTTGGGGGTGCCACATTCCCTGTTTGTGTCACCCCCAGGGCAGGCTGGAGGTGGCATTTGGGTCACAGCCAGCCCAGGGAACGCTCCAGGCTGGGATGGAGCAAGGCCAGGGAAAGGTTTGGAGCCTCAGGAGGGGCTGAGGGAGCTGGGAAGGGGCTCAGCCTGGAGGAAAGGAGGCTCAGGGGGGACCTGCACAGCTCCTGCCAGGAGGGGACAGCCAGGGGACAGCAGGCTCTGCTCCCAGGGGACACCAGGACAAGGGGGAACAGCCCCAAGCTGTGCCAGGCGGGTTTGGGTTGGATATTGAGAAAATTCCTTCATGGAAAGGGTGGTAAAGCCCTGGCACAGCTGCCCTGGGCACAGCTGGAGCCCCCAGCCCTGCAGGGATTTAAAATCCAAGGGGATGTGGCACCTGGGGACAGGGCCAGTGGTGGCACCTGGGGACAGGGGCAGTGCTGGCACCTGGGGACAGGGACAGTGGTGGCATTGGGGACAGGGCAGTGGTGGCACCTGGGGACAGGGACAGTGGTGGCACCTGGGGACAGGGACAGTGCTGGCATTGGGGACAGGGACAGTGGTGGCACCTGGGGACAGGGCCAGTGGTGGCACCTGGGGACAGGGACAGTGCTGGCATTGGGGACAGGGCCAGTGGTGGCACCTGGGGACAGGGCAGTGGTGGCACTTGGGGACAGGGCAGTGCTGGCACTTGGGGACAGGGACAGTGGTGGCACTTGGGGACAGGGGCAGTGATGGCACCTGGGGACAGGGCAGTGCTGGCACTTGGGGACAGGGCAGTGGTGGCATTGGGGACAGGGCAGTGGTGGCACTTGGGGACAGGACAGTGCTGGCATTGGGGACAGGGACAGTGGTGGCACTTGGGGACAGGGCAGTGGTGGCACTTGGGGACAGGGCAGTGCTGGCACTTGGGGACAGGGACAGTGGTGGCACCTGGGGACAGGGACAGTGGTGGCACTTGGGGACAGGGCAGTGGTGGCACTTGGGGACAGGGACAGTGCTGGCACCTGGGGACAGGGCAGTGCTGGCACTTGGGGACAGGGACAGTGGTGGCCTTGGCAGTGCTGGGTTGGTGCTGGTGGCCCTGGGGGCTTTTCCAGCCCTGGTGCCAAGGCCTGGGGGGTTCCATGGGGTTCCATGGATGCGGGGCACTGCCAGCCCTGCCCTGGCTCCATGCCAGGGATGCTGCAGGGTTGCCATGGGGATGGGGATGCTGGCACGGTGACTCAGAGCTGCTCCTGCTGCCTGTGACACCCCGTGGGCCGTTCCCATCCCGCCGTGGGGGGCTCTGAGCCCCCACATCCCCCAGGCTGCTCCAGAGCTCCAGCCCGGCCCTGGGCACTGCCAGGGGTCCTGGGCAGCTCTGGGCATTCCACAGGGTTGGAACGAGATGGTTCCAACCCATTCCACGTTCTGTGATCCCACAGCCGCCCCAGGGCCATCCCTCACCGTCACCCTGAGATTTTTGGGGCTTTTTCCCAGTTCTGTGCTGGATTTGATGGGATGGGGTGGTCAGGGTGTCCCCAGTGATCCCTCAGTGCTCTTTGCTCCTCTCCTCCTCCCTGCAATGCATTTTTGAGGGATGCAGCCCCTGCTGCCAGGTGGAATTGTCCTCCCTGGGCCTTTCTGGCACCGGGGCTCCTCTTTCCAGCCTTTAGCACACAAAGCATCCGTGCCAAATGACAGCTCTGAGCCAAGCCCCGAGCACCAAGCTCGTTTAGGAACAATTCATTAGAGGGGGGAGGATTTTTTGAATGAGGTGTTTTTCATCTGGGACAGATCCACGGAGCAGCAGCCTCCTGTGCTGCCTCCTCTGCCAAAGCCTCGGAGATGGTTTGGGTTTGTTTTATTTTTTGTGGTGAACGATTCCAAAATGATTTTTCTCCTGTCTCAGATCAGCTCCAAGGGCTGTGAGTTCTCCCGGGAGCTGCTGGAAGGAGCGGGGGCTTTGTCAGGGATGAGTTACTGAGGGATCCTTCTGCCTCTGACTGTTGCTGCCAATTAAAAGAAATAAATAAAGCTCAATTAAGGCAAAGGCTTGGAGAACGGGGAGGAAATTCCATTTGCAAAGGTTCTGCCCGTGGCTGCCCCATCCCTGGAGGTGTCCAGGTGTTGGATGGGGAGGGTGATGGGACTGGAGGGGTTTCAGGTCCTTCCCTGGCTCAGCCCCTGAAGTGCAGGAGGTGGGAGCAGCAGCAGCAAAATCCCAAATGCCAGCACTGAGGGCTGGGCTGGGGCTGCAGAATGAGCAGGGATTTGTTTTCCAGAAGGAGAAATCTTCCAAACATCCCCTGGCAGCAGCTGGACACCCGACAGGAGCAGGATCCTGGCACAGCATCCCCAATCCAGAGGGGATGGAGGAGCTGGGACGTGCCAGCACCCATGGATGGCACCAAATGGGCACAAAGAGCTTTGGGGGATATCCCTGCAGGGCTGGGAATGCCCCAGGGATATGGGATCCAACTCCTCTGTGCCATCCCTTAAAAGCCATGCGTGTTTTGGGAGGGCTGGATTCCAAAGCAGCCCTCGGGCTGAGGGATGGATCCATTGATTTTATCCCGTCCTTGATCTCCATCTCGCCTTTCCCTGGGATGTTTTCAGCTCAGGTGCTTTTTAAAACAGCTTTAATTCGTTTTCCCTTGGCTGCTGCAGTGCTGCTAATTGGGAACTGGGACTGTCTGACAGGATTTACATAGATTTTGAAACGGGAAGGGAGAAACTTCCAAAAATACCTCCCTTTTTAAACGCAAAGGCAGCAGAAACTTCACCAAACCGTTTTCTTAAAATACCCTGAAAATCCGCCGTGATTCTGATGGATCCTTTGTGCCAGCGAGGTTTGCTCTGGGAAAGGAGGGATCCAAACACCCGGGGAGGGTCTGATGGCAGCGGGGTCTGTGAGCGCTGCCCGGAGCTTCCGTGGGATTGAGAGAGGCTCAGAAGTAACTGGGAATTTGGAGAGGCTCAGCATTAACTGGGAATTTGGAGAGGTTCAGCATTAACTGGGAATTGAGAGAGGCTCAGCATTAACTGGGAATTTGGAGAGGCTCAGAATTAACTGGGAATTGAGAGAGGCTCAGAATTAACTGGGAGAGGCTCAGAATTCCCTGGAACTGAGGCTCAGCATTCCCTGAGATTGAGAGAGGCTCAGCGTTAACTGGGATTGAGAGAGGCTCAGCATTCCCTGGGAATTGAGGGTCAGCATTAACTGAGAGAGGCTCAGCATTCCCTGAGAGCTGAGAGAGGCTCAGAATTAACTGGGAATTTGGAGAGGTTCAGCTTTCCCTGGGACTGAGAGAGGCTCAGCATTAACTGGGAATTGAGAGAGGCTCAGAATTCCCTGGGACTGAGGTTCAGCATTCCCTGGGAAACAGAGAGGTTCGGCTTTCCCTGGGAACTGAGGGTCAGTTTTCCCGGGATCACAGCCTCAGATTTCCCGGGAACACAGGCTTGGCATTCCCGGGAATACAGTCTCATTTTTCCCGGGAACATATGCTCGTTTTTCCCGGGAACACAGGCTCAGATTTCCCGGGAATAGAGTCTCATTTTTCCCGGGAATACAGGTTCAGGTTTCCCTGGGAACTGAGGTTTAGCATTCCCGGGATCACAGGCTCAGTTTTCCGGGAACACAGGCTGATTTCCTTGGGATCACAGGCTCAGATTTCTTTGGGAAGGTGCCGGGCTCTGCACCCGCGGCTCCCTCCATCCCTCCCTCTCCCCTCCTGGCGCTTGTTTTGATGCCGGGCTGTGAGCGGGACCTGCCCTGGCGGGGATGAGCCCCGCGGTCTCCATTGGCACCGGCACGTCCGAGTTCCCCGGGAACGTCTGCCACGATCTCCCGTAGCCATGGAGACACCGAAGCCGTGCACAGAAACACTTTTCCAGACGTTTTTTCCCTTTTTTTTTTTTTTTTTTTTTTTTTAATATATATATATATTTTTTTTCCCTCCTCTGCCATCCTCCTCGGGTCCGTGTGACTCTGCTGTGCCCACAGCGAGGGCTGGTAATTTTAAGGGAATGGTGGAATTTTCTGTGGAATGCCAGGTGGGAGCCCTGGCAGAGCTCAGCCTTGCTCCCTGCTGCTCCCAAGGTCTGCGCCACCCCAGCGGGCACTTCCCCATCTCCAACGCAAAGGATTCCGTGTGGGATGGGGCTGGGAGAGCCGGGGGAAGGAGGGGTCCAGGGAGAGCTCAGAGCCCCTTGCAGGGCCTGAAGGGGCTCCAGGAGAGAGCTGGGAAGGGACTGGGGACAAGGGATGGAGGGAAAACAGAGCCAGCCCCTGCTCTGGCCCGGGGGTGTGGAAGGCAGAGCTCCAGAGGGACGGATCCAGCCGGGAGTGGTGCAGCTGCAGGGATGGGCTTGGCTGCAGGGATGCTCTGGGAGCTCCAGGCTGGAGAGGAGCAGCAGCTCCATCACCTCGGTCCTGTCCCTGCTGCCAGCCCGTGCTGGCCATGGGAGCATC